GCGTACACCTTGGGGGAGTTGAATGCGGTATAGAACCAGTAAATTGCGACGTGGAGAATCCAGATGCGGTTGAAGTTGACAAGTAGATGCGCTGTGGAACGCTTCTCCTTGTAGGTCTTGAAGAAGACTTTGTTCCAGTCTACGCGCCGCAGGTTCATGTAGCGCTTGGCGGGTGAGATGTCCACAAGGCGAGACTGTAAAGGATGTCAACTTAACGCATGCTGTAGGGGAAAATCACCTACATGGTTTTCAAGGACAATCCGTGCCAGACCCTCAGGATACCAAAAAAGTTGGTTAATGTCGTCATATCCGATGATCTCGTCATGATCTCTCTCCCTCCTAACGAACTTGCCCTCTGCAACTTCATAACCCTGGTCACGCATGAACGTGTATAGTGGCTTGATGATTGTGTGCAAGTATAAACCCTCCCGTACGGGCTCCACGCTATTTTGGCACTCGGGACTACGGTAGTAATCGTCTGCGCACTTAAATATGAAGCACAGGCACTCGGGAACAAAGCGCACATTGCCCGCCTCGCCCCAACAAAGGAGGTAAAGTGCTATCTGGCGGAGCCTGTCGTACTGACTCATGTTATTCATCGCGTTACGCCAGCGATTCAGTGCACTATCCAAGTGTTTCGAGCCTGGTGTTTTGACTGAGCCGCCTCGAACACTTTTGAGGCGTTGCAAGCCGGGATTCTGGGTTTGTCCAACGGCGTCATCGAGGTTGAGCTGTGCGGCAAAGTACCACTTGCGATAATTTGCGTGTTGTCCGCCAATGTAATCGGCGTGAAGGGTTGTCAGGGCCTGATTTGGACTCATACGGGAGGCGCGGGAGTCGAGAGACTGCATTAAAAAATCAAACTGCAAAATTGATTAGTGCTTGTGCGTGAGACGGTGTGATATTACAAACCATGTTTCGCATGGAATCACGTTGAAACCCGAATTTTTGGGTGAGGTCTAGAAAAATGTCCTCTATTTCTTCCATGGAAATTGGTATCTGACGGTCGGGAGACCAGGCTGGATATGGGTAGGTGGCTGAGTCGGCAAAGGGGGAACCATATGGCTGGCTCGCCTGTGAGTTAATAGATGGTGCGTAAGAGCGACTGCCATGTCCAGCATCAGAAGCAGAGTCACGACCTGTGAAGGGGTTAGATTCATAAAATTGCTGGTTAGCTGCGAGACGAGTGGTGCTGGCATAGGGAGTGCCGATCTCTGATTCATTGTCATAGTCTTGTCGAATAGGCTGTTGTTGGTAGAAATTTGGCTGGCCGTAAGGGTTTGGGAAAGGACTGTTAGGCTGTTTGAGCCCATTGTGGGCTGGTTGAGCCATGTTAATAGTCTCGACGGACGATCAGCGGGTCGAAGTAAAGAACGACTATAAGGAAAACAATAACAAGTACTGAAAAAGTTAGGAAAGTCCGAGTCAGCGCCCAGCGGTGAAGGCAGGATAATGGAGTATCTGTGAGACACCGTGATGCGCATATAGAACAATCATCACTCGTGAGAAATCAAACTTGGTTACCAGTAAAATTAGGTGTTCTAAAAATAAGTAACAGTCACTAGTCGACGACCATCACGTTAGAGTCTGTTCGGCCACCAATATTTGCGCCAGTTTACGCAGGTTTAGAATCTATGTTTTGCTTTCATAATCATAGGACCGTGCTGGTCACAGTGTGACCATCAATCAATACTAAGTAGTAGGCATGCCTGTTACCCGTCTACAATCTATCCATCATCGCAACTCTTACAGGATGTCTCGGGGCAGAAAAAGTGCCCGTGGTGGTGCAGAGCTAACGGAAGCGAGAGATCGGTGTGTGTGGACGGAGGCAGATGAAACCATCCTCATCCAGTATGTCACCACCAACTGCTCACAAGGTGGTGATGGTATGAACTTTGATCACACATTTTGGGTTGCTGCTGCCACTGAAATGGAAAAACACCCCTGCTTGGGTGCAAGCAAAACAGCGGCAGCATGTCAATCAAAATGGGGGCGGGTATGTACTACTACTATATCAGCCTTGGTACCCTCACTAATGATCAAATTTCAGCTCCGTGGTACATTCAACGTCGTCGACAAAGTGGCCAACGCTTCCGGACTATCTTACAGCATGGAACACGGAGCTTCGATCACCCCAGAGTCCGAAAACATGTGGACCGACTTTGTGAAGGTAAAGTGATTTCAATTCACATCAAACTACTACGACAATGCTAATTACTATGAATCAATAGAAAAATCCAAAGGCCAAAGGCCTCCGGGACAAGGGTTGGAAGCACTATGAGGTGCTGAAAGGTCTCATACCTGTCAAGTCAGGTAACAACAACTCGTTCTTTGCCACCATCGCGACACAACCTCCCATCATTCCTTCGCCTTCTTCTAGCAGCGCAGCCACCCCCCTTTCTTTTGATGAGGTCCATATGATGGACCTTGGAGATGCGCTCGATGGGATCAAGTTCCCCGGCTCTGTTTCAGGCGGCCAGCGCGCAACCCCCCTCACCCCAGAGAGCCTCCCTCCATTCGATGCCGCACAGCAACCCTCCCTTGAGTCGGTCTGTGTTAGTGCGCCATCATCAACAGCTTCCAGTAAACGGAAGCTGATTGATGATGATGAAAGTACGCTTGATATCGTTACCCGCCCCCCACATTCAACGAAATCGGGAGACTCGGCGAAGTCTGCACGCCTGACGATGCCTGTGGCCATCCAGCAGATGGGGACCAGTATTGGCGGTCTTAACACAACGTTCAAGCGCGCGGCCAATGCTCTTGAGGCCAACACCTCCAACACCTTGGCACGATCAGTAGATCCCATCCCTTTGCGCAGGCAGAAGGCGGTGAAAAAGTTGCAGAGTGAGGGTCTAGAGGACATACAACTACTCAATATCTTGAATAAATTTCAGACCGACATCGCTATCATTGATATTTATCTTGCTATTGAGGTAGATAGTCTTCGGCGGTTGTTTTTAGAGCAGCATTCAAAGTAGTGTTACATGGATTCTTGTCGTGTCATGTTCTCTTGTATTGTACTTGTAGTAGCAAAGCAATATCACTATTTCTATAGATCATAGTCATTGATGAGAATCCAGTCTTAATCTGACAACAATGTCATCATTTGACGGAGATACTTTGGATCATAGTCATCGATGAGGATCTGGTCTTAATCTGACAACAATGTCATCATTTGACGGAGATACTTTGGATCATAGTCATCGATGAGGGTCCGAATGGCTATGGTATTAACGCGACTACAGTACTAGTGGTTCTATGATTGCCTGCTCCCCCCTCTGAATCCTTTCCCTGTTGTAGGCCTCCCACATCTCACTAGCAATCTGGTCACGACGGAGGCTCGCATGAGTGCGTGCGTGCTCAGTAGGAGGACCGTTAGCAAGGTTTCCAGTGTCAGTGAGAATGTGCGCATCTAAGACATTACGATAGTCCATCATGTCGTTTGGATCGTGAACTCGAATAACGTTGTGCACGAGACACAAGGCAGGAGGAATGCGCGCTTGAATGTCCATTTTGTACTCTGGTGGGAGGAGAAGGATACGAAATCGGCGCTTGATGACACCAAAAATGCGCTCAACAGCATTTCGAAGCATTGCATGACGCAAATTGAAAAGTTCTTTGCGATTACGAGGCCTATGTAACAATGTGAACATAAGTATGAATGGTACTAGCAGAATGCATCATACAAAGTATTAGCACGACCCCACTCTGCAAGATGATAACGCATGCCCCGAAACGGGACCAGAAGCTCATCACACGAGCCAAAACCAGCGTCCGCAAGATAATACTTTCCCTCAGGGATATTGAAATCGGTAGTACAAGCATCGTGATAGACACGAGCATCTGCAGCTGACCCCTCCCAACCGCTCAACATGTAGGTAAATGAAAGGTTGAATGAACATGCTGCGAGGCAGTTTTGAGAGAAGTTCCCCTTGCGATCCCGAGCGGCATGCCGATCTTCACCAAAAGGATGGCATGCAATGTGTGTACCGTCAATGGCTCCAATAGCGTCAACAAAGAACGGGAAGAACTTCGGGTTTTTCGTGATTTCGGGGGGAGGAGGGCTATCTACATCGGGCAGGCGGACATATGTCGTATATATCGGTGGCGAGGAGAATGCGAAAAGAACCCGTTTAAAATACCTGAAAGAACATAAGCTTGATACCAGGACAGCAACAATATACGTACTTTGATATTGTCTCATTGGACCGCTGGAAGCGTTCACCAAGATGGCGAATCGAGAGACCCGTGACAGACGCATAGAGAAATATAGCAAGCTGCTCTTCGAGCAGTACATGCCTGGAATCTCTGCAACCTGCTTGCCGAAGGAGATTGATGAGCACATAGAAAACATGCTTGTGGACCCCAAGCTCGCATCTGATGCGTTCAGGGTGTCCAGTGAGAAGTTCGGTGACCCATGCAGTCCCCGACAAAGTGGAGGTATGATACGGTTCTTTGTCGTAGTAGGTGTTTGAGTAAGCTTCGAGCGCGGTAGTTGTTGCGTTGAGGACTGTAATGACCGTGCGCATAGCATGCATGGCCATCTGCATGATGCATGCCAGATATCTCTTATCACTCTCCTCTGCATCTTGGTCCATCTCCTCTGCCTCCACAAGGTCGTATTCGTCCTCGTTAGCGTCCTCGTCGTAATCAGGATCAAGAGGCATTGTATTGATAGTAGGACAAGGCATACAGTAAGCGTTATCGGAGCGTGACATCTTGTTCAAGCTCCGACGATTAGCAAAGCCAGAACCAAATTCTAACTTGCGCAAATAACGCAAATAATGGTGGCCGAACAGACTCTTAACGTTGAGCTGCGCAGTCAGAATCTGCACTTTCAACTTTTCTGATGGCACTTCCGTGATTACTTCTGCCCGTGTTCTAAATGCTGGCCGTCGTTGATCCGAGTCGTGTTCCGAGTGGTTCAACCAAACAAATCAAAACATCCACAGTCCACACGTGATCTCATAAAACGCGTCGCGCGCGCCTAAACTCACATGTCTCAACCAATCGTGTTATGGAACGCTAAACTGCGCGCAACCCATGTCTTTGACGATGCAGGCATTTCAATCACGAAAACTATATTGCCTCCTCCAGGCCCCAGAGCCCCTTATGACATGGATCCGGAGCCTCCAAATATCTTGAAGACCGTCCCACCCCTTGCGTACTTCTGTATTCGCGCTCTCACTCCTCATGCGGACCAACTACACCACCTTCAGCATTCCGTACCTTACAGTGGGGATGTTGTCAGTGCTTTGGTCCGACGAACACCAGCCCCTCTTCCTGTCAAGAACAAGGATTCGCAACCGTTTTTCGTTTCGATTGTTAACCCTAGATTGTTGGCAACACTCGCGCAGATTATGCACCCGCTTCCTGAAGAGTTCAGGGACTATGACATACCGCTTAGTGATGTCCATCTACCATTGCTCCAAAGAGTACCTAGTCGGGAAAATTTCTGCTTTATAACTCTTCTGGCCTTACCATATTGCAAGGAAGTGTGCGACGACACCATTGGCGTCATTCGCCGTTTGAACACCCTCACTGCGCTGGATATAAAAGGGACAACCGTAGGATCCTACGGCCTCACTGTGCTTGCTCGCGGCTTGTCATGGAGCGACGACGAACTACAGTCCAGGACTGGTTGTTGGGGACTCAGAATCCTGAGCCTGCATAGCTGCACCAATATAGGCAACGAGGCTATCCCCATATTATCCAAATTTCCCCTGTTATCATCCATCGGTAACTTCCTTCTTTCTCCATTCTGCACCACAACTTATCCGTGCCCCATCGCCAGACCTGCGCTTCACTAGCTGCACGCGACACGCTGTCTCCAAACATCTTGCTGATGCTGGCTTCAGACCCTCTTCAAACCGTTTATTGTTTCATCCTGCTCCACTGGAGGTCTCGCTTAAGCAGCTCGAGAATCTTAGCTCAACTTCAATTTACTCATGCGGACTCACCTCCGTATTCAAGTTGCACGTTAACAAGCTCAACCATAGCAACCTCTTTTCTGAACACGGAACCCCGTCGTACATTCTCCAGGACATGATGGAGAGACCAATAAGTTTGATAGATGTTGATGTCGATGAAGAGAACAGCGAGCTAGCTGAACCTACCTCTCAGAATATGCAGGCAAGCACGACGTCTATGTTCTATGCATCGCGCCTGCCCCGCAGAGAAAACCTCATCCGGGCTGCAGCCGAGGAACAGCTTCACCCATTGACTTTGGCGCGCCCTTCACCCCAATGGAGTGTACTAGACGCACTCCGACCACCGGTACGACAGCAACAATCGTATGGTCCAGAGGAAGATTCACCACCACTAAAACTCGAATCCATGGACCGTGCGCGTCTCACCAAGCGTACCTTGTCAAGTGTGGAGGTCATGGTCACGACCCTGGCCGACAAGAACAAGAAGCGGAAAGTGGAAAGTGCATTCGCTAGCGCAAGTGCCTTTCCAATTTCCGTTTTGAAGTCGAAAAACCCTTTTGTCAAATCTGGGAGCTCGACTCCCAAATCGAACGGGTCGGGCGGCATGGTGCGATCCGTGTTCGCTGAGCAGAGAGATGCTGCCACTGCATCAGCACTCGTTAAACGAGACTGGTGCAAAGCTGAACCGTGGCCTAAGTTTTGTGATGGAGGGCCCTTGAAACCCTTGAAAACTTCCATGTCTTCGACTTCCTTAAACAACACCACTTCGAACCCAGTCTCCTCTGCGAGTGGCAGTGCTAATACATCGAACCCTGCCCAAAAGAATTCGAAGCCTCCTGCTGAGGCTAAGATACTCAGACCCATCACATCGTACCCCGTTCCGCCGTGTCCACCAGAGCATTTCCTGCTGGTGCCACAGATATATCCAAAAAATTGGGAGAAGAACAAGGGGGCTACCCACTCTGTGTTTGAGCCTTTTCCCGATCTGACGGCGCCGATGAATGGGAGCGATGATATCATTGAAGTGGAAGGAATCGGTTCCATTCACGATGACGATCCCAAAAGGAATGAGAATCCTCCGAAGAAAGCTGGGAGAGGTCGTGGCGGTGCCAGCAGCACGACGAAGAAAGGAAAGCAGAAGGCGACTGGATTTGACTGGAATAAGTGGAGACGGGAAACTATGTGATTGACTCCGAGTCATCATTATCTTTTCTTTGTGTATGATTCTTTATCAGTTCTTTATACTTTATTACTCAAATACCCATTCACGGATTCTTGTCTCGTGTACTTGTCCTTTTACTTATCTAACCGAGTTACACGTGTACTTATACTGCATGCTCACAAGCTTGAAGTTGACTGTAGTTTTTGCGCACATCACGTGAGAGGCCGCGTTCATATCCAGTTTCATTTGGTAGATCACTTTCTAGAGAGTCCATACGGGCTAATGTCCAGGCACGATGGACTACTTCTCCAAATTCCTCCGCGCAACGCCCCAAGCCTCCCCAAAGCCCGTTCAAGACCACGCAGATGAGTTTAGCAGATCCTGGAATGTCATCAAGGTACTACTCCCTTCCCGAATTTCCGTAGATCCCAATTGAACGCGAGTCGGCTTGCTCGTAGACAATACTCGAGCACCCAGACGAGCGACAGCTCACCAAGGGCATCAAATCTACCGATGCCCCAGCCCACTTGCAATTGATGGTCGACGCCCTGATCAGAGAATCGGCCCACAACGAAGAAGGGTATGTGCTCTGCAACCATGAAGGTCTCGATAGCGTTTATTATTGCTCTTCGTCAGCGCAACTGGTGCCTGCTTAGAATTTCTGCTCAAGAATGGTCTGCACCCCAACAACTACGATCTGCCCTAGGCAACTGTATCTAATAGTTCTTGCTCTCACAGATGTCTTGGGCACACTCGTGCGCCTCGCAGAACCCGACCGACCTTCTGGAATCCAGGCCGAGGTTCTCCGTGCAGTGCAAAACATGGTTGTTCTCATGGACGAACAATTCCTCGTGCACTCCGCTGTACATCGCGCCGTCCTGCGCCTCCTGCGTAACTGTGCCGGAGACGACATCCAAGAGCAGCTAGACGGTCGGAACAGGATTATGGGAGCTGCTAAAAATGCCGTACGGAGCCAGCCGTCTGATTATGAGCTTGATCGTGAGTGTTTGTGTCGTGTTTGACGATCTGTGGATGCTGATGGATGGCAGTGTTGAACTTACTGTGTATTTTGTGCAGCCGCATACGAACGTACCGCGAACTCTTGATGATTTTCTTCCATGATAAGCACTGGTACCACTCAGAACCGCTTTTCTCCGTTGAAGAAGAGGATGAGGATGAGGACGAGGATGAAGATGAGGGCAAGAACGAGGATGAGGAGACAAGGGAGCGCGCATCACCGACACCTTCACAGGTCACAATAACGTCTGCTCCTGCATCTCAGGCTGCCCATTCTCACAAGACAGAATACGAGTTCCTCCTTTTCAACTATCTACTCCGATTCGTTCATCGCGAAGGGCAAATTGGTGATTTTGCACGCACGGGCTTGCTCTTCCTCATGGATGTTGCAATGTCCCCTGGGGAACCGATACATAGATTAGCAGGGGATGAACAGGAGCCACCTGCAGCGTCTGGATCAGGGACCGCAGCTGGAGATCCGATTACAGATGCAGCACTTGCCTTGGCGGAGTATATCGTCGATGGTGATTTTTCAGACGTTCTTGGGGCGGGTCTGGGCGCAGTATACTCTTTGCTTCCATCGAAATTGGAGATCAAGTCACCGACTCGGGCTGATTCCTTGGATGGCAGTGGTATGGTGCTAGGTAGCACAGGACCAGACACTGAAGATGAGACAGAGCATGCTGAATTAGTGGTGGAGAATAACCGCGTCTCGGGTATCGAGGATTCTTCTAACCCAGACTTCAAATCTCGCCTCGACCACTTCCTCAAGTTGCTAGAATTTCTGCAGGACATTTTCCGCAGAAACAATGTTCATGATTCCCCCGAGTCCAACCTCGATGCGTCTGCGTTGGTAGGCACTTCCATTGTGCACTCTATATTGGATGCCGTGCGTCGCAGCTTCCTTGAGAACATACTCTACCCATCCGTTCTTGAGTGTTCTGATCTCGATGGTAGCGCTGTTGCTGTGATGTCTTATATCGACATCGTAATTCGTACTCTCGAACCAGGTCAGCTTTCCGACCTCTTCGTCGAATTCCTCATGAGTGAGGACAACGATGATGCCTCCCGTTTCCGACCACACCCTCGCATGCTCAATCTCAGTAGTGCTCCACCTCGCGCTGCTGACCGCTCAACAAAGCTCCGCCGACGCAAGAGTAGCGCGATGGTTCTGCTTGAGATGGAGGCTCCTGAATCGCAGAAACAATCAGAATACTTCACCTCAATGGGGCGATTCACGCTGAAAGACTTACTACTCACGAATCTGCGCTCGAAGAATCAGACGACAGTCGCATCTGCTCTGCAGTTATTGCAGTCGATGCTGAGCCAGAGATGTCACGTTTCGACCAGCGGTCTGTTCCTCGTCTTCTATGATGCAAATGCCACGAGCTATCCTGAGCCTGCTATGATTTTCCCGGACGTCACACAGATAACTGAAGATGATAGCGATGAAGAATTTGTTTACCCCGGTGCAGAGGAGACCAAACCCTCTGCAAGGCCACGATTGCCGCCCCTGCCCACATTCGTCCAGCCAGATATAACGTTCTCCACGCACGAGCGTGAGATGGGACTCTACCTCACACTGGTCTCCCGTGTTGATCCCTCACATAACGATGATGCATTCAGCACTGGCTATGACCACTATCTTCGCGACGCAATGTCGTCCATCCAGAACCATAGTTGTTTCCATATCCATGATGACGAAGACGTGGACGCACGTTCAAAGTTCAAGCATCGGCTCAATGTCAATGACCCCATTCTCTCGCTCATCCTCGAGTCTATGCGTACATTCTTCTCGAACTCGCCAAAGATGAACATTTCGCTCACGGGCGTGCTTGCAGAGTTAGCTGTCTGTCCTAACCGCTCTATCGCGGGGTGGCTTACATGTGCAGTATCAGAAACTCTCGCTCCATTCTCGGATCCCTATCTCGATGCAGATGATGGTCGAGATGATAGATCCATAGACTCTGTGATCGATGAGAAGTTTGCTACAGAAACCAACATACTCCCCGCCATCAGGCTCGATGAACATAGCCGCCCTGTCGTACACACTATCTTCCAAGGCCTCGTCGGCCAGCTGGAACGCTACCGGCAATCAGTCGAAAATTTCGACCAATATCTTCTTGAAAGGCGACAGGGTCTTTTGTTCTCTGAAAATCTGACAGATGCACTCACTCTCTCACTTGAACCAGTTCAAGATGCCTTATCGCCTAACTTATCGCAGTCAGGTTCTTGGGATGTCGTTCAGGCTTCTGAAACGCCTCCTCAACGCCCGAAGCCGAAGCCGAAGACTTTGGCTCTCGTGTCTTTCCTGACCCCAAGAAAAAGCAAAGTCGCTCCATCCAAGGCGCCTTCTGAACCCACAACACCCCCGAGGTCGGGCGGCAAAAATGTCGCTGCAAGTCCATTTGCTCCACATTATCAGCGCACGCGAGATATTGTCGTTGAACCTTTCGTGGCTCCCGTTCCCCACTTGAGTCCTTGGATATCAGCCCAGCCATCAAAGTGGAATGCGGATGAAGATGATATTTTCAGTGCAGGAAGTCAATGGGGGGGGCACACAGCTACTCGATCAGAGGGAGAGGACTTGCATGGAGGGAAGGCAACGCAAGTTACATTGTCGCAACTGCTGGACAATGTTGTCATTTTAGAGGAGTGCATCAAGGAGCTGGTGGCCATTATTCACGCTCGTCGTAGTTTAGGAATTGATCTAGTAAGATACGTGTGAGCCTCACTAATAATCTCATTATCACTTGTGGAGGTTGGAATCTAACAAATTGCCACCGTCGTAGCTGATTAAGTACATCATCAGCCAGCAGACGCGTCAGATGCAACATAGACAAGGGTCAACCAGTCAGGCCTCAGGTCTTGACAACAATAATTTAGACGAATGCATCAAAATAAATACAATACAAAGCAGAACGAGGCAGGTACGACAGCAAACATCCACAGAACAGGGGTTATTTGGCTTTCTTCGCTCTCCCGCTCCGTCTTCCCTTTGCTGGTGATGATCCTTCACCTGTTGGCTTGCGTTTATCCGAAAAAATCCTTTGTTGTATCTTGGCAAATTCCTCGTCATCGATATCAGGAGGATCCTGGACATGAAGTTTCTTCTTTGGTGATTCCACTTCAGCCTCAGACTCGTCAGCGCCCTTCTTCCGTTTCTTTCCCTTTCCTCCTTTCTTTCTGGGTGACTCTTCCATATTTGAGTACTTAGCAGCCAGGTCATCCAGGAAACCGTGGCGGTCCTTCTGTCTCTTCAAAATGAGGGCCTGGAGTGCTGAAGTGTCTCCCTTGTCATCATCATCGTCATCTGCTGATTTCTTCGCTTTCCCCTTGCCTTTTCGCGCCCCTGTCTTTCCGCTTCCATAGAACTCATCCCATACGCCAAGTTCCTTCGCGAGTTCTTCAGCCTCCTTTGCCTCTTTGTCACTCTGCTTCTTCCTCACTAACTTGGCTTTCTCGTCTTTGGAGCTTGACACCCATTGCGGAAGACTCGGCAGATCACCAGCTTGTACAAGATTCGAAAGTGCGACGATGAATCTCGGCTCATCATCAATAGTAGAGTGAGGAATGTGCTTCATGATTTCGTCGAAAGATCCTCTGGTTTCGAGGTACGCGGCCTTGAGGTCCTCAATCTCCTCAGGAGATCCTGTAAGTAGAGTTACTTAACAATCTACCAGATATAATTTAGACGCACCTTGATATTCTTTCTTCATTTCGTCCAGTCTCCCGCGTGTGACGCGATCAAATAGATCCTCAAAGTAAGCTTCCCAACCACCGTCCTCATCCGCCTCACCGAGTAATCCTTCGTCGGTCTTTCCGGTTTTGTCATATTTCTTCCTCCGCTTTTCATCGCTTAGTACGGTGTATGCAAAACCAATCCTCTGGAACTGCGTAGATGCTTTGGCCCTTTCCTCCTCGGTGGCGTTAACTAGTTTGTCAGGATGACACAGCAAAGCAAGTTTCCTGTAGGACTTCCGGATATCTTCTGTGGAGGTATCTGATTTGAGGTACAAGACGGCGTAAAGGTCTACATCTTCTTCGTCAAAGAACTGGGATATGGGGTCGTTGTCATCCATGGTGGCAAGAAACGCGTTGACCGTCACACAACGCGCTGAAATGAGATGGGTCACGTGCTGCAGTAACAGTCACATTCCATGCCAGCGCCCAAAATTGTTTCCAAGTGCTTCCAAATTTTTGCTGCACCTCCATCATCTTTTTAATGCCAAAGCAGGGTTCCTATGGCTAGTATCTCAGGGGCAATACGCGATTTGGCGAACGATTATGGACATCAATATGTCTTGCCAGGTGATGCCTCCGAGTCTGTACCTTTGGATGTTTGATAAAGCCCTTCGACACATCTTGGGGATGAGCCCCAAAGCTACTTGATTATACAATATGGATGTCTACGACGCGTTCGTTTTATCTATTCACCAGTAAAAGCAGTGCATTTCGACATCGGGAACAAGATATGTTCCTGTCACTCTTCCACGCCTTCTACATTACAATATCTTGTCTTTGTCCTTTCCTTTCTACAAGAAGGGCTCGAATGACATTGATACTCTTGTGCTCGAATGCCTCTACGAATTGCAGATCACCATGGCATCTGATCCCGACTTCAACTTGAAGGCAATCGCTCAGAAGTGCAAATTCTGAATGACTGAAAACACTTGACGACACTTTCTGTCTCTGCTCTGCTGTGCTCCAGCCTTTAACTTTTGTTCTCAGAACAAGTTCAGACGCTTATAGACCGCCGTCACGCCCTGGAAGCTGGAGCACCTTGCACTGGCGCTCTCGCCAGTCTTTAATCTTTTGGACATGGCACATGTTCAGATGTTCCTAGAGCACTGTTCGTGTCTGTTCGGGGGGGGTGCCATGTACCACTTTCACATATACATGGAAGAACCTTTCCGACTCAGTACAGCACCACAAGACCTTGCACTGGCGTTTTCTGGGAGTCGGCGTGCAGTGTGATGCAGTGCAGCAGTGCTCATATATAGGCGGGAAGACTAATCACGCCACGTCTTTCGCCGTGGCTTGTGACGATCATGAATCATTGGCAATAGCGGTGTCGACTCAATGCCAGGGGGCTATGACTTTGGCAGCGATCACAGGACTTTCAGAAGCATCTCCTTGTTATCATATCCAGCATGTGACAACAAAGCCTCGAGATTTGAAAACGCTCAATCTCCTGCCTTGTCATGATGCTCCTGATGGAGTTCTCGAGGACAAAACGATCGTAGATCACGAGACGTCACTGCTGATCTATCGGGGCATTTTGAAAGTGAATGTTTCCCCCGAGCAATCATCTTGCAATGGACATTATTAATATTCATTACCCACTCATACAGTGCCTTCCATGCTATTTGCGGGATCATCTGTATTATCATACACGCCCTCCACCTCAATAAACAGAGCTCAATGAGCTTGGTGTCCGAAGCCTGTCTGCGTGAATTTCGTATGTGAGTCTCCTGCTCTTCGCGATGCCCTCGCCTGGCCTCTGTAGAATGCGATACGACGTAACCTGCCGCGGTACGTAAAACAGCCTGGAGTACTACCATTAACAGCCATCTAGTTCTACTAGTAGCACAAAATATGATGTAGCTGTTACTATTCGTCAATCTATGAGCCTTTAGAGACTGTCTTGAGATGCGGATGCCGCAAGTAAAGAGATGAGGAATTTTATTCCAGCCTTGCAACTGCTTTCACAGGTGGCAAAGGCACTAAGTAATACTTACAAGCTGCGATATCGTTATGATCGCTAATGTTCCCACGCACTTGTGATCAGTGCCATCTCTTCAAGCTCTCCATTTGCTCTCCATCCTCCATCTATTGGCCACAGGCAAGACAGGCAAGACAGTCATACCTTCTATCCTGTGGAGTACGAAAACATGCCTCCTGCATTGGAATACCTCCCAGTTGTCATGTCTTTGTGCTCTACAGCTTCGTTGGTATGTCCAGCCGTTGCAACGTTGAGCTAGTTGCAAGCACTGGGCTATCCGGAGAAATGTCCATTGAGATGACGCTTCTACGGAGAGCTCTGATGCTTTGCTTGAGATATTTTCCAGCGTTTTTCGTGCTGCGCTCCGCTGACATCATGACATCTCCCGTCTGGTGATACTATCACTAACCCACAGTGCGTATCAGTGGCCAACACAATACTGTCCTCCAAATCCTAGATGATGCATAATATCCGCGGAGGCTGTCCTCATACATCGCCTGTGTGGAAGAATGCCATTACCATTCGTGGTTTCCAAATGCGCGAATAGATTTGGTGTTTGTTATCATGGGCTACTGCCGTTTCTTGTCGAGAATATTGAGCATGGTGCTCTAGGATTGTTCGACTGGGTACTTTTTGTGCTACTTATGGCACTATTACTCTGCACGGGACATTGGGAACGAGCTCGGTCTGCCGTACATGCTCACGTACGGCAATATGATAGAGACAATCATGGATAAGTATAAGCTCCACCTGACCTTCTAACTACTCGCTTCAACACTACTTACCCGCATCGAAAACTGATCAGTAATATGATCTTCATGTAGGTCGGATCTCCCACCTAAAGTTGATCTCTATTTCAATTTGTAGTATCCAACATTGAACAAGCCTGGAATCCATGGTTATGTAGAGAACAGCGCCCACTTCTTGTTCTTGGATCAAAATGTACGTAGGTCTCTTTGTCGCCAGTGTGTGTTAATTCTCATGGCTTTTGTTCCCTTTTGGGCGCCTAGCCGTCAAAACAAGATCGCTAGCCCAAAGGCGTCAAACACGTCATGTGTCCGTGACGCGGTTTCCGCAACCAGTACTCGCTTGATTGATTGCGCGCTGGTGTATTGGACTCAACGGCCTTATCGCGCGGATCACTGCGACGACCATGCATTGTACAATGCACAACTGAGTTGGGAAGCTCGTTTGGTTTCAAGAAACTCAAAGAACCCATAATCATCGACAAGGCCGCCAGGGTCCCTTGTAATGAAGTAGGGACCGCATTAGGCCAATGCTTACCCCTAATTCGTGATAGTTCATACATACAAGGCCCAACTCATAAATTGCCTGCCAATTTTCACTTCCATTCCACGTCCCTATCGTACTATCAAGGCCGCTATGAAGGTCGAATGTCATCGGTGCAGGACTCGTGTTCCACAGGAGCTGACGAAAGTTCATGAAACCCGATGCTGAAACAGGACGATAACACCTACCCTCAATCCTCATGCACATCCATCTCATCAACCATACCCGCACGATATTGATGCATCACAGTTGCAGAACCATTATCTCCAAGTCAGTGTACATGATGACCCAATCGCTATATGCCCTAATGACGTCTTCTGCAGCCGGTTTCGCATTCAGCCGTCCCTCATGCTTTCATTTCACCCCTCATCGTACCGAGCTTTATAAGTGACCCATCAGACTGGGACCCATGGCGACGAGAACTTGAGCAATCGCGTAACAAAACTTCTTCGGAAAATCGAGAAATCCAACGAGCTTATAATGGAAGAAGACAGGTGAATATGTCGCGAATACGTCAACCATGTCAAAGTCTACCAAGTGCTTCCATTCTTTCGTGCAAACCCTGAAGAAGCTCATCATTGTGTTTCAGAATCTGATGGTATACACTTACGCATACCTGAGACGCTGCACAAACAATATAGGGTAGGGTAACCAGTGATGCCTGATTCATACAATCAACACACTCTAGGCTTCTGAACGAACTGAAACAGAAAATCATAGAGTGGAGAAACTGAGATCACAATGATCTCATGATATTAACCATGCATCGGATTATCAGGGATACTTTGAAGAGCCTTCTGGATCGCAGCGTAAACCTCATTTTTTTTGGCTTTCGGTCGCCCGTTCTCATATCTTCCTGATGGGAAAGAGATCCGTGTCCTATGCACGTATCAGTCAAATTTACATCAAGACATATTGTTCCTTGCGATGATGTGGCAGTCCTTCGCGTCCTTCTGGCTTGTGCGGAAGAGATTATGAAAATGACTTTTATGGCCTCGCACACAACCAAGCACAAGATATGGTCGATCTGCTTGAAGAGGTAAACTCATATCTCTAGTCTATTTATGTGGTCGACTTTAGACATCCAGATCTTGCGAGATCCTTCAACCGACCATGCCACACGCGCGCGGCTTTTGAGATATATCATTCGACTATCACGAAAATCTGACCGTTTACCATGTCAGCTGCGGTTGGACGGACTAGAGCCAACCCCGATGCGCGTTGTTGAGCAGGGTGGATCTACAACTATCTTTACAGCGTCTTATGACCATCGATCTGTTGCTATCAAGCGATCGCACCTGCCATCCATAGCGCAGTGTCACAAAGTGAGTAGTTCATCATCCGTCGATCTACATCCTACTCACCTGTTCGCATGTTTAGGACTTTGTGAGCGAGGCAGTGATTTAGAGTCACTTGAAACACGAGAATATCGTGCCATTTATAGGAGTCATAGACAAAGACTATAGGCTGTGGCTTGTTTCGGAATGCATGTACAGTAGTAATGTGAAAACGTACATAGAGTATACGGGCAGGGAGAACTGGGATCTTCGGCATCTGGTAAGTTATATCATTCGTTATCAGCAACACCGATTAATTAGAGATTCTCTATCCAGGCAGAAGGAGCTGCAAAAGGTCTTTGCTACCTGCATACTTTCGATCCGCCTATCGTTCATGGCGATCTCAAGGGAGTGAGTGTTTTTCATGTCAGAAAGGTTCGCAGGTTTTTTCCATATAGTGTAATGTCATGGTCGACAGACGAGAGAATGCTCGTCTGACCGACTTCGGAATCTCGAGATCTGATGATACACGTCAAGGGTTGGATTCTACTAATGTCGACCGCCGAGAAACGCTTAATTGGATTGCCCCAGAGCTTATTTTCTTTGGAAATTCGGAAACTATGCGCATGGAAGCCGACATATGTATATGCATTTGCTTGTGTGCTATATAAGGCAAGTGGTTTTGTCCTGTTCAAGTCATCAGACTCATTACTCCTCGCTTTCACCTCACTTTAGATCTATACTGGAGGCATCCCATATCATGGAGAGAATATAATCGATTGCCTGAGGGAACGAAAGAGACCATTGCTGCACGGATTGGGAGGACCCATCACAAGACTTATTGAGAGATGTTGGCATCATGATCCAAGGCTACGCCCGAAAGCCCTCGTCGTCTTCGAAGAACTGGAGATGATGAAATAGTTTCCATTGCTTTCTTTGATAGGACTTTGAACGTTAACTTTGGCGCGTGAATCCGGTGTTTGGAGTTCCAATTTTCTGTCCCCCTTCAATTCTGATTGGTGTCATACTTGATAATCTATAATATCTAAGCACGAGATACCGCCGGATTCGTTCTGTCTAGTTGAATACAAGCACCTGTTCATCTTCGGACATTTTCTGCCCATCCGTGCAACAGCAGCCTTCCGTTCATTCACCACACCACTCATTGCCTCAAGAAGGCTCCTCGCGCCAGAACTGCTGAAGACTGACACAAATGTTACGTATAACGGTACAAGTACATACAAGTAGGTAATGGACAACCGAGGATCAAAAAAAGGAGTATACATAGTTAGGGGGAAAAGCAGTACATCAACGTCGCCGAGCTACATAATGATCTCTCAGAATCTAAAACAAATTAAAACCATGTTTCAAAAAGTGGACAAGCAAGACTGTCGGCCTGTAATCGTCAGGAAAGAACTTGGACTCGATCAAACCAACTCTCGCCCATGCATCAATCATGAAGGTACCCCAAAAGACTAGCCACAGCCAAGTCCACAACGAGCCCAAAAATCCATCGACACGTAAGCCCGTACGTTTCTTCCATATGCCTTCAAGAATTAGACCGACGGCTTGCATGATGAAGAACCCAAACACCACAACAGGGTGACCACCCCGTTCCATTGCCTTCAATACAAGATAGTGCAGAGCGCCTGAGATGAGGAATGCGCCCATCACCCCTCCAGGGCGACCGAATAGGTATGCCAATGGTCGGGCACCGACTGATATAAAGTACTCCCGGAGCAATTGATGCCACTTGCGACCCCAAAAACTGGTCAGTGATGTCGAAAGCCATGGGGTATCAAACAAGGGCGGCCATTGAGACGGTGCTTGTCTGAACAACAAGACAAACACAATGGTGTATATGTGATACAGCGATTCAACCAAAAAATATGCTGCACAACCAGAGAGGATCGTAATGAAGGCAGACCGGGTATAGCGACTGAGGGGCGGTAGTGATGCGTCAAATATTGTGCCCCCTTCAGCTGATCCGAATCTTTCCGGAGAAAGATAGTGAGCGGCTCTAGAGGCGGCATCAAATGCAAGCGTGTTGAACAATAGCTTCGCGAGAGTGCTGAGCAGGAACTTTGGTCTTGACTCTGTTCCACAACTGCTCTTTGGAATGCGTAGGCCTTTCGGCCAATCCCACCCAATCCCGCGAAGATTAACTGATAGATCCCATGCATTCCAGAATGCGGTGAATAGTGGGGTATCCTCGACATTGGTCAACTGGCTGCTTGTGCTGTCTGAGATGGTATTACCGTTGAACGTTTTGTTCGGTTGTAAAGCGATTCGACTATATGGTTTTTTCGCGAAAGCCCAACCGGTCGATCGCATCGAAAAGGTGAATACGGCGGCCTGAGTTGTAACACTTGAATGAGACAGGCTCTTCCTGACGGACAATTTGTACAGTGCACTCACAACTAGTATTTGATTGAGGAAAAGGTAATCGGGAATTCCGAAAGAAAGATCGAGCGACGAGCCAGCTCGATATGAACATAGCAATGTAACTGGAAGAAGCGCAAAGCGGATCATTGCAGTGCGTTTTCGTTGAACCAGGACGGCCATTGTAAAGTACGAAACAAAGGCCGGTAAGAAAAGTGTCGAAAAAGTCGACACCGACAATGACGCTCTCTCCTGGGATACAAGTAGCCTACTGAGGCTGACCATGCTGAGAGCTTTTGTCAATGGTGAGCTGCTATGAACATAGAAAATGCAGTACCTTGTAATATATGTCCAACTGACGAGTTGCACAATCCGATGTGCTGATAACAAGACAAACTTTGTTCTGTGCAGTGATGGACATTTATACTTCTTTGTGAGTCAGAACTTTACCTACGTAGATTGAAACAACTTTGAGTTTGAGGCCTCAGGCCAGAGGCACCTTGAAGTAGCCCTATGATGATAGACTAAGACATTCGTCTTGTATGGTTCTTAATGGAGATGATTTACGCTTGGCCATCCAATTCGAACGCGCGGGATCTAAGGCGAAAGTGGTGTGAGGCAAACGATGAACTTCGCCTGTCTGGAATTTGCACTTTGACGAACCGTCGGCGCAGAGCAGTGATGCGCACGCGCGCATTTCGTACTAACCCCTTCTCTGCTGACATATTTAGTTGCACTGCGCATATTGTGTTCGCTTCCAGGTCTAGGCGAGGCGAAGGTGTATTCGGATGGGTGACCGCAATCAGCATAATCGGTAGCAAGAACTCACCGGTCAACTGGCGGCCATAGTTGGATTATAGTCTCATCACCACCTGTAGTTGAAGTAATCAAGTGGGCGTTGATGAAATCGATTCCATCATCGGGCGGTGCAGTCCTACCACCGAAAGTGAAAACGGATGCAGGAAGATAACTTCTGTCCCTAAGAGGAGAGGCGCAGATCCATCAATTTTCGAGAACCGCTTTTTGTCAAGAGCGTAGGGAATACAAATGATACCATGAAAAGAGCAAGATAATGCCATAACAATCAAAATGCGAATGATAACAGTTCCGACGCTCAATAAGCTGAAACCGCCATGCGAAAGTTTCAGAATACACAAGAGCTTAAGCTTAAGCTTTAAGACATGCCTGAGCCAAAGTAGGGTTCGAGTGGAACGTGCACAGGGCGACAACACAAATTGGTTCCGCGGGATCAAACGCTGTCCTTGAATGTCGATTGGTTTTCAAATTCCACTCGCCTGACCGTTTCTCGTACACGTGACGTTGTTACTCGCAAGACTTTGTTTCAAACTTCCAAAGAAAGACCCGAGCCGCAGGCTTCCCTTGCCATGACTTTTTGGGTATCTGAGATATCTGGCTTTCCATATATAACTGTAACATGGATTATGTAAGCTGTAGTCCATAACGCTAAATAAAACAAAAGGGATCCTCTCCACTTCCAACAGTTGAAGAACAGATCTTTACATATGCAGAGCACTCCCTGTCCATATCGTCTTGATTGTAGTCTCCAAGTCTTTGTGAAGTTCAGAATAAGAAAGAGACATGTATCACTCAATGGATATCTGTTGCTGAAGAGGAACGCCACCTGGGGAATATGATGACTGGCGCTCTGAGATTTGGGCGGTGGGTAAGCACTGTGAGTTCCTGCCGAGTTCTAATTTTAAAAAAGTTAATCACCCATTCCAAACGCATTGATGACCTGCATCTTGACAGGTGTATAAGACTGACCATGCGTCTTAGATTCGGATAGTCCCTTGTCAAAGTCACGGAAACACTTGATTCCGATCGCGAACGAGGCTAAGAGGAGCAAGAAGGCGACGACGGCTAAGGATAGCCGCCAGATATGGTTTAGCGTCATGATGAAACAGATTACGCTGTATGTGACTTACTGAAGACGGTCAATGTGGCGCGAGTTGAAATGTACTGGTTCTCAGAGGAAGGCTCATAAAAGCGAACCAGTTTGTACACTAAAGAATGTGTCAACTTGCGAGATGATTAACACATGTTATACACATACAGACTAAATCATACTATCAGTTGCCGGTCAATGCATTAAAATGAAACACCTCACAATAAGACATCGCAGCCACCATCAATGCAAGGGCCGTAGTCATCAACCTAGCAGACAATTCAGATAATCACGCGAAGTGGGCGCTGGAACCATCATACCATTTGACTTCATACTTGACAGCACGTGCACAACCGGCCAAAAGAAATAAAACGACAGGAATCGCTGCGATCGTGATACCAAATTCAGCAGAATCTCTGCTGAGAACAACGATGAGAAGCTGTGGATTTTCAGTCCCTGGACAATTTTCAAGAGCCACGATGTTCACCTGCATAGTCACCCCCACGAAACAGAAGAAGTCGAATTTAAGTAAGCAGATGAAGATTTGATAGAATTGATACATCGCTATTTCGAGTCAGCGCCATGTCATCAAAAATGAATACATAGCTCACACTTGAATTTCGGGTTTGCCCCAACAACATGGAAGATAACCCATCTGCAATATTTCAGTAATGAGCAGCATACACGATAAGCTGTGTGATCGTACCCGAACTCATCATACAGCTGCTTGATCCAGAACATCAAAAAGAACCACGACGCAGCAATTATGCAGGGAGCCACGATTAGGAACCGTTCGACCTTATTCCATAGTGAATTTGGATCTACAGCGCAAGGAGGCGTGCAATTAAATATAGCGACACGGGTTTCATGAACTTGAAGAGCAGAAAAGACGATGAGAGCTCCATGAAAAACTACGAAGTGTTCAGAAAGAAGGAGGCATTTTCAGAGAAGTCGACACCTACGAACAATCCCCATGAGCTGGATGATGTTCCGTGATCGTAGAGCATCAAGTGCCATTATTAATTCGAATATCCTGCATTATTGTCAACAGCTTGGGAGTGATCGTGAATGCAACTACATACTCTGCTAGAATAAAAAGAGCTAAGTAGCATGGCAATGTCTTCATAATGTGAGCGGTTCAGCTTGTTAATGATGTACGTAGAAAAGTACCTTGTACCCAAGGTCTGTAAACGCCGTCCCTGCATGGGCTTGAACCTTGACGTCAGCTAGTTAGCAGGCGTATCGATTCGACTGCGGACTACACTCACTATTCCGAATGTTGATCCAACCATAGCTACTACCACAATGGCCTCTATGAGCACCTAGGTCAAATCTTGATCGAGAACCTTCAAAGAAACGACTAACGGAGTGCAACTGTGGCAAAGGTTCTTGAATGACAAGGTCACAAAATATTGGGATATAAACTTACTTGTGATGATGAAAGCCTTTTGGGCTCTCGTCCCAAATAATGGTTCAACAGCCATGATGAAGCAGACCGTCAAGCCTTCGGCCGTAAAATGAGAGAAGTTGGTGGTTCCGAGTCGTCGGTGAACGTCACGGTTCGTGCAGCTGTGACACTACTAGCCGACTAGCCAAATCAAGCTCTCAATGTGGCTGTGTCTTCCTGTGTTTACCGAGCTCGTCGGTTATGCAGTTGTTTCATGCTCGATTTTGTGTACATACTACAGGTGTATGCACATAGCATGATTTAACATGATCGGTTAGTTGTGAATGATCAAGCTTAAGATTCAGCGACCTTGAGTTCAAGTCGTGCTGGAGCGATGGGCCCCATGATCGAGCTTCGACGCCGCGTTGCAATCATATTGACAGAGTGAAAAAGTGACATATTCCCCGGCCCCGCAGACGTCAAGTCGTTCACCTACATACGCCCGCACCGACATCGTGTGACGAAGATGAAGTCAGTGACCGATAGCTGCTCGATGCTACGACCATCACTCTCGCTAAGCAAGCACTACCTAACACAACTGACATTCCTTGACATGATTCAGCGACGACCTCGGAGGGCATTTCGGTAAAAGTTAAACAAGTGGTATTTGCCGCTACAGTGCAAAAATCAGTTACCAAACGGTCAGTGTTGCCGGGAAATAAGTTGATGTTCCATGTTCTCTGGTTCCACCAGCTTTAATGTTCCAGCTTCGTAGTAAGTGTATGGTCATGACATGCAATATCATGATTATGCTAAATTTTCAATGAGACATGATGTCGTGAAGTATCCGAGTGCCACATGAATTTTAATTGCCCTCGATATGATAGTGCCCTTGATGGATCAGCACAAGGACATCGAGTCATCGACCCTATTTCATGAGGAAATAAATGTCATCAACTCAGAAATCATCCCCTCTCAGCGTACGTTCCTTGACAGCCGCGGCTATCAACAGCTCTTCCCTCCAAAGTGTCCGTATATTCTCGCACATCCAGGGAAGCCACCGGTCACTGCCACCATGACCATACTCCTCGGCGCCATCGTTCTCGAGACTGTCCAGACCGGCCTGGGCTTTGGTGATAACCGTATCGCAAATCGTGATCAACGACTCCTTCCAAGCGAGTTCGTTTCCATCAGATATAATCTCTCGTTTGCCTGCTATGACGTCGTGCCACGATTGGATGGTGTTATGGTGGATTGTATTATTTGAGACAAAAAGACAATGAAGTCTTAATGCTGTAATCAAGCGCCAGGATGGCTGCACTGATTCCGCCGAGCAATATAGGGTCCAATCTCTACGGTAACTTAATGAGGCAACTTAGTTGACCAGAAGTTGAAGACGTACATACCCCCAATAACCTTCGTCCTCAAGGACGCTTTTGACGAAGACACCGGATTTGTGATCGAGTATCAAGGATTCCACCACATCTTGTACATCGACTTCACCATCCGCAATTTCAACGTTGCCCAATGACTCGTTGACAAATCCGTATTCGACGAACAGCGTCCGATTAGAATGAGCCCCGTAAGCCAAAAAGATCTCTTCGCCCTCTTGGACAGATGCATCTGCTGGCGAAAGAAATCTAAATCCAATCTGCTTTACCGGCACAGAGTCCCAAATATCGGCCTCTGATGGAGCTGGAGTCATACTATGCAACCCGTTCGGGGTATGGTTGGCAAAGTCGAGGATGGGACATAAGGTGAGATTATCGGGGTCTTCCTTTGATGCTTTCAGACGGTAATATATGCAGCGCGTGTTGACTGGAGGCGAGGTGGATAAGGGAGTCTCGTTCATGCAGAAATTACGTGCCATTCAACCAAGCCCACGCGTAATTGCTGGTAGAAACGTCGTTATCGTCCAAATAGGCATCATACTTTGAAGAGATGTATGAATTCGCAGTCTGCTATGGCTTTAGACGACGAAACTGAGTGAGTATTTCCTACCAAGTACGCTCGGATTGCATCCCAGTCTTGACAAAATCGGTCATGCAGCTTAACCAAGCATGCATGCACACTCGGCGGGAGGTGCTTAAGCAGTGGGACCCCTCCGGACTCCAGGCCACATTTTGATTGCACCATCCAGGTCAAAGGATGACTGTCGAACTCCCTAGGAAGTGTCGAAATGTATGGTCCATAGTGAGGGTCTAGTGAATCCTCACTTCCATGCGGGCGGTTGATATACAGATGCAAAGATATCATTTGCGTGGCGGTCAAAGGAGTGGGTCCAGATGTTGGATGGAGGGACTTTAACGTCCTGATATTCATCAATGCCTGCGGCGGCACTGCAAATAGCAAGGAAGATGGCTGTCCTATTTGTCAGGGCAAGGCTCAATCCATATTCACACGAAAGCTCACAGTACACAACGTTCGAGCAAAAAGACCATTCCCAGCAGCTGTGTGTCCAGACGGATGTTAGATCAAGCGGTGGCCGTCCGGAAAATTGAAGTAAATCGGTTGGTGACTCAACTGGGTGTTTCTTTGCACTCGACCAGCAAGTCGCCTGTTCCTGTTTTCATCCCTCGAGTCCTCAACCATGCCAGCAGCTTGGGCCATCGATAATTCAGCGACGATTGCGAGTTTGAGATGCTCGCCATCGTGGAAATGTTGACGTTATTCCCACTATGTGCCATGGCCATGCAAGGTCATGGGACTGGAGAAAATATGCATGTATGCGGCTCTCCGCGGGTCGTCCATGATGGAAATTCCGGCCCGTGACATGTCATAAAGCTTGAGATCTATTGCTTCTTCGTGCATCTCTTGCATTCGACGAGCAGATACTATCCCCGCAGAGCATCCGTTCACCCAGCAAGTTTATTAAATCCAATTTCTTACTTGAAACATGACCGTCTTCAACGCATCTCGCCTTCTTGGCAAGACAGTCCTTATCACGGGAGCAAGTTCTGGTATCGGAGCGGTGTGTACAAACCTAGCTTTGAGGGAGACACCAATACTGATCTGATCATCGACTCACAGGCTACCGCCCTCTTGTTTGCCAAGGTAGTCCGCCACGACATGCTATATTTCTAATCATTCATATCTCATAGGGAGGCTCCAACGTCATACTTACCGCTCGACGAGCAGATGCGCTACAGAAAGTTGCAGATGAATGCACTGCTGCCCACAAAGCAGCTGGCCTGCAACATGGCGGCAAATTCTTCACTATACAAATCGACGTTTCGGACAGAAATCAAATCAATGGCCTCCTAGAAAGGATACCTGTCGATCTCCGCGAAATAGACATCCTCGGTGAGTAGATCTATCCTCTGTAGTGTTCATATGAATTTGAATTCGGTTGCAGTCAATAATGCTGGATACGTCGTGGGAGTGGACAGAGTTGGCGACCTGTCTCTGGATAACGTGGAGGGCATGTTCGCAACCAATGTGTTTGGCTTGATCGCCATGACCCAGTTGTTCATCAAGGGTGTGTATTTCAGCCCTTGGTCATAACTTTCACTCAGCCTCGTAGACTTCAAGAAGAGGAAGACTGGACATGTTATTAACCTTGGTTCGATCGCTGGCAGGGAAGCTTATGTTGGGGGCAGCATCTACTGTGCGACAAAACATGCTGTTAGTGCATTTACGGGCTCTCTCATGAAGGAGCTTGTCGACACTCCCATTCGTGTCACCGAAATTCAACCAGGTATATGAACCACTATTGCAACCAGGGTTAAACTCAAGTCGTTGGTAGGTATGGTGGAGACCGAGTTTTCTCTCATCCGTTATAAAGGCGACCACTCCGCAGCAGACAAAGTCTACGAGGGACTTCAGCCTCGTGAGTGGTTTAATATACCTGTAACCCGCATACACTCACACATCACAAAGTGGTGGCTGAGGACATTGCAGAAGAGATAGTCTGGGCTGCATCGCGCCCTCCACATGTCAATCTCGCTGAAGTCTTCGTGCTCCCAGTGAACCAAGCCAGTGCCACCCTCAGTTACAGGGCGCCGAAGCTGTAATATCCCAGTTCTGATTTGATACTCGAAGTCATTGTAACATAGACATTCCCTACAAGCCGATAGAAGCGAACGACAATGTGTCAGAGACAATAAGGATACAGCATCGACAGCATCGACAAATGCGCATTAGAGAGTGAATAGAATAATGCAGCCTAGCTAACTTTTCGATTTCTTACTCTTCGATCTGGTGATTTTTGGGGGTATAACCTCTTTCACCACCACCTCAGCGTCGTTGTCATACACAAACTTCTTTACCACGATGTTCTCTGGGTGAAGGTCAGTGAGTGGATGCTGCTCGACATCCACCACGTTGCCCAGAGTGTCTAAGCGAAGATTCTGGAGGAAGGTGAGCAAGAACGTAGTGCAAAAGTCACGCAAACCACTTGCCTTGGATGTCGGGGCTAAGCAGCTTTTCTCTACGACAAAGTCCTTAGTCCACGAGTGAGGTCGAGGATGAACCTCATCCAAATAAATTTCCGTGGATAACCCCTGATGCCACTTCACCCGTTTGCTTTCTCTTTCCCCTTCCTGCTGAGGGCCTTCCCCAAACCGCAAACGTTTGACCGGCCGATCAGGCCTAACTGGCGTCTCATAATCCTCCACTTCTCCTGGTCCCCTACGATGCTTAGTCCAGACCATCCCATCATTTTCATCATGTTCTTTATCAAATCCAAGGATGGATTGATCATCCAGTTCGCTAGCACCTTCACAATCACTCAATCCGGGCCCATCTTCACCCCGCTTCGCCCTCCGCTCAGCTCGTTCAAGTCTTTGCCGATCCCTCATATCTCTCTGTTTTTGCGATATCGTCCGAACCTTGATTGCAGGGCTCTCTGGCCTGGTGCCCTCCTTGCGAACTACTTCCCTTTCCAGCTTTGCAAAAATTTCCTGGTTCTTTGTAGTGTTGGAAGTGGTGAGGGCTTGGAGGGCAACTGCGCTCATCCCCATGAAGCCCTCGCCCTCAGAGCGCCGTGAACGTCGAAGCTGGAGAGGTTGCGTTGAAGTGGACGAACCAAAAACGTCGCTGGCATGCTGCGCTGCAGGCTTGCGTCGAGACGTTCGACGGCCCCGACCTCGGTTTGCTGGTGGCTGTTGTGCAGATGCTTCCACCGTTTCTTTGGGCTCAACAGCATCATGCAATGGCTTCGCAGGTTCAGGTTCTGGTAGAGCAGACAGGGAGGTTGAATTAGGAGGTGAAGATGATTGGCTGACTGGTGCCTCAGATACGATCAAAATCTGCGGGCTGCTGTTGTGGTCATCGGCGGCTGGAGAATCAGATGCAGTCGGTTTGGTGGGCGCTGCATAACGCGCTGATATGACTCCGGGCTCGACTTTGCGGAACTTTATAGGACCAGGCGGCTTCCGAGGACTCGGCTCTGGTATAGAGGGAGCCGTTAGTGGGAGACCAGGTGCTGCTTTGGGGGCATACTTGCTACCAAGCATTCCGGGCACAATCTGGCGGACCATCACAGGATGAGTGGGGGAAGATGTAGTAGTCTCTTCTATGCCACGCTTTCGCTTCAGGGTCGAGAGCACTGATGGCTCTGCTACAGATTTCCCGTCGAATTTTCGATTTGGAGGTGGAGCGACAGATGACTCTTCGGAGCTGCTACTGCCATTGCCAGCGGGAGTTGATTTGAAAAGTGGGACACGCTAATGAGTACAATTCATGTCAGTACAATGTAGCAACAAGCCCGCCTGGAGGGCTTACCGGTCCAGTACCAAAGGCAGGTAACTTTGCAGTTGTAGATGAAACCGGTTTCTTTGGTTGTGGTCTAGCATAAGGCTTGGCGCCAATTCTTGGTATGCGACTACCAATAGAGGGTTGTTTCAAACTAAACTTCACAGGACTGGACGACGACGTGGCCTGATTAGCGATCGAATCTTCTTCGACAGCCTCACATCCTTCTGCCTCTTCAGGGATAGATTGCGGGAAATCTGTCCCTGTTTTCTGCCCAGTCACTAGAGGGAACGGCAGTCTGGCGCCAGATCTCGGCTTGGAAGAAAAATTAGGGAAGGTAGGCTCTTTGCCTTTGTTATCAGCGACGCGGGGTAAGGGATCTACAGAATGACTTCGGAGAGGTTGAGAGACAATGGGTTTCGGTTCCGCTGAGGCACTTCGGGCCCTCGCACCTGCTGGTCGAGTTGGAGAGCACACAGGACTGTTGAAATCTGTGATTAGAATACGCTTAGCGGGGCTACGAGATGGGTCGTCCAACGCAGGGCGCGAAAAGACGGGTCCACGCATGCCCACCAACCGTGTCGATGCGTCACGTTTCGCAGACAATAGCATGGTGTTTTGTGAGGATGCAGAGCCCTGTACGAAGGCACCTTGAATGGGCACCCTTCTCGCTGGTGTGCGAGAGGCATCGTCGACGGTCAAGGAAAACTTAAGATGAGAGGAAGAACCGAGTAGATTTCCATTCGGACGAATAGGTGTTGGAGCGACAACCAATGGCCGCTGTACAGTGGCCAGGGGATAATTTGGTTGCTGAGAATCTGATTTTGGCCTCTGTGGTGTCAACAATGGAGGGTCCAAAGATACCAAAGAAATTTCACGTTGTGGTAGCGAATACTGTCCCTCTGGGAGTGGTGTAGATCGCTCGGACGGCAATAAACGCGTTAAAACATCCGCGGACTGAGGAGAAAGGGACCCTAATTCCCTTTGGAAATTGGGGGTGTCATATTTCCCGTTTAATGCCCGTCTTCGTGATCGTCGTCTCTCTTTATCTTCTACCAATCCTTGAATATCAGGGTATGGATCATGATCAACAGTTTGCTCATCCCGCATCAGGGGAACGTTCCCCTCGGGCGCGGTTGTTGCCGCCTTCGATTTTCCTTTGAGTTTCGGCGTTTCCGGAGGTTGCTGTGTATGAGTGGTTTGGTTGGGGCGTGGAGTCCCACTAAGGCGTGCTGATCGCCGCACGGGTAATCTTGCATGTTCCTCAGTGACATCCGGTGCGCTGGAGGTGGCGACTAACGGCGAAGGAGAGCTGGAGCGTGGTGGTCTAGATTCCATGTCAGCCGGTGGGCATCCCTGAGGAAGCTTATTTAGGCTATCCGAGGAATTAGACCGTTCTACGCCGTCTACACGAGGGCAAGGTATGACAGAAGGATGCTCTGGGGATTGCGAGAGGAGATCATCCACGCTGGACGATAAAGTTTGAATTGGAGAACCACAGGGACGTCGTTCTGTAGAAGATTCCGCAGTCTTGACTAGTGCGGAGCAAGATTCAAATGAGATGAGATCGGGCTGAGAAATGTTACCAGCAGAATCCTGTGGAGGCGAATTCTGATTATAGGAAACTTGATGCTGCGGTGGTTCTTGTGACAAAGCACGTTCTGTCGGGGAGAACTGGCTCAGTCTCTCACGCAAATTTATGGGGCGAAACGGGCTAGGGGGTGCAGATATATCTGGGAATGGTGTGTGTCCATCCCTCATCATAAGACCAAAGTAAAGGGTGGGGTGGGCCCGCGGAGGAGGGGAAGGATTATCGCAAGCCCGCATAATTCGACTTGCAAGAACGGAGGATGGTTCTGAAAGTCCATGTTTGGAATGTAGCTGCGAAGAGCAGACGAACAGAGCTCACCGTTCTGGCCCAAGGTATCATTCTCAGGCGTGTCTTCACGAGATAGATGAGCAGCCACATCAGAGATCTCATCTGCATCTTCGTCACTTCGTTCGACACTTTCGTCCTGTGCGCGCGTGATTTCCTGTGGCGATGGAAGGGCATGGAGAGCAGGTAGTCCCGATGGACGAAGGAGAGAGTCGACGGTGCCAATACTCAGCCCACGTCTTCGCGTGACCTCGCTAGCGATGAGTCTCTTCTCTGGTGATTGCACTGGACCGAAGTAGACTCTCGCAGTTGAGCAATTGACAGCATCACTGTCGGTGGAAGCAGGGGAGTTGGTGTCGTCGGTATTCATCAAATTGTCCACGATTGTTGCAATATCTATGGACGTTAAATGGAGAGCCGTAAGACATTCAGTACGGCGGAACAACAAAATCGTTCAAGGCCTTGAATATAGCAGAGTGATGATCGACGATCGACCAAAGCTGCCGAACGGTTGGCTGTTCACGACATGCACAACCAACACAAACGTCCATGTACGCGTCACACGTGACTTATGCAACCTCACCATTTTCACCATCACTTTCACTTTCAAAGGTTGTACACAAAGCTACTCAAAGGCGTGTCTCATCTAACCTGCATGATACGGTGCTCTCGATTTCTAAGGATACAGGACAAGACAAACACAAAGTCCAGCAAACATAATACAGGGTACATGGGCCACGCCACTAAAACGTTGCTACGGGCGGGATCACGAAATGATGCTGCATGCTGGACTTACAATCTACGGATCTATACGAGAGGATGCAAATGGACGTCTTGAATTACACGTACTATGAGAGTCCTTTGTCTAGACCGAGGGCTTTCGTCAAGATAGTGCCTCCACCTGCATCGCGGTGATCGGTCGTTCAGCAGAAGAATTTCGACGGGTGGATGTGATCGATGTTGCACGATAATCTGCATCACGTGAGCTATCCTGAGGATTTTGTTTCAGCTACACCTGTATTAACGTTTCCTGTCCAGACCGATGACGCCACCCACCAGTTGTTTTTCTTTGGCAAGCAGTTCAAATGTTCGCGTCTGCATAGCCAAGGACGACTTCATTGCCTCCAGCAAACCTTTATAGTCAACGTTTTCCTCCTTTACAGGAACCGCTGTTGGCGTAGATGATTCCACCCGACGACGTTTTGAATCTGGTGATCGCGACCATGCCTTGGACCCATGTTCAGCACCTGCTGCTCCATTCTCTCTATCGTCGTCGGCTGAAGTATTTTTCAACTCTAATAGCTCGTCCAGCTCCCCCCAGGATTGGTGCCGTGCCTTCCGTTTGAGCAAGAGCGGACTGTAAGATCGAAAATATGACTGCAGAGCCACATCCGTTTCTGTGTGCAACAATGCAATGGCGCGCTCCAAGTTGATATCTGTCGTTTTTACAATGGTCGTCACGATATTTGAGAGCAGGCTCTCCCACAGAGAATCTAGTTCTCTAACGCGCGTTGCCACGCGCTCTTTGGATTTCGCGTGACTTGTTATAACGGCTGCCAAAGCAGGAGTCACCGCCATCGCAGTAGACGGTGCAGCTTTGGAAAGCTCGGTAGACAACTCCGTAAATGCCTTTAATTTGTCTTCTTCCTTGTCAAGCTGACATGAATCTTGAACCAGCTGACTACACAGCCTGTTGCTTTTTAGTCTTCCCATATGGATCAATCACAAGGGGTCTCTTACCTTGCAAGACGACTAGAGAACTCGTTGATGACGTCGATGGATCTTTTTTTGTCGTCTCTCGATTGAAAGGACAGATTTCCTGGCGTCATCTGAGAAGCATCTAGACGGTCTTTTCCGTGGCGACTGCCGCTCTCAGGATTGTCACCTGATTCCATAACTGAGGACCGGATTGCATGCTGATATCCGTCAGATTAGATCTTGTCGTCCGTAGAGCCGATATGGAATACTGACCCCCTCGATTCTCTTAGATCGCTTTGAAGAATGTAATGCCCTCTCTTCGTCAGCCCTCTCCCGGGAAGACCTTCGGACATCCCTGGAGCGATCGCGCTCACGCACATAACGCTCCCATGAATCGAAGTCCCTATCACGGCGGTCACGCTGAATAGGTTTTACTTCGCGGTCGCGACCGCGCTCTCTATCGAGCTCCCCATGATTTCGCCTAAACAAGTCAGATTGTGGCACGAGTGGCGATGAACGAGGGCCTCGTTGTAAAGGACTTGTCGATGACGCTTTTGGCTTGTGTTTCGGTTTGGTCTTGGATTTTTCGCATTTGGTATCATTATAAGCAGACTTTTCGGGGTTGACGCGGCCTTTATCCCATTGGAGATCAGATGGGTGAATAAACCTGCAGATCGCCAAGTTAGGACGTGTACATGTCGAGATGGAGGGCATGACGCGTACCGACAACGACTCCCTTGGTTGCAGAATGGCTTTATACCTTTACCATGCTCATCAAAATACTGTGAACACAGCGGGCAAACCGATGGACGCGTCCGACGCGTCAGCGGAAGATCGATCAAGATTGAACTTGGGAGAGGTACGTACACGACAGCGCATTGTCTTATAGAGCGACATGATATTGGTACAAGGCTACCTATTGGCAGTAAGAGAAAGGTGTGTCGTGGCGGTTGAGAATAGGCGCGAAATGATAGAAAGAAAGGCGGGGATGTTAGCTTTATAGTGTGGGCCTCGTCCAGGGGTGTGACGGAGCGCGTGACTCGTCCGAAGCTTAAGCTTTGCGAGCTTCTTCGATGCTTCCGTTGCAACTCGCCGCCAGATGGGCATCTGATCCCCAATGATATCCACGACAGGAGGATCTGTTGAGTTGGCGACCCGCCCGCACTAGTATCATGTTCGCCTGGTGCATATAGCTAGATCAGTTATCTTGCCATCCGACTACTAGTACACGGCTGAAGCGTCTAAAGATCTTGTTTGGGTTCAGCTTGCATTCACGCTATTGGGAAATCATGATCGATATCGCAAAGATATTGTGTCCATACAGTAGCGCGCGTGTTGATCCCTCTGCACGAGGACTTGAGTTGTAAAGGCGCCGGCTTCTCACAATCAACTAGCTCCGGTTTCATCGCCTCGACTACTCACAGATTTCCATCTTGTCTAGTCTTGCTCTTGTCTGTCCTTACCCTGCAATTGAGCGACGCTCGCTCTGCTCCCACCACATCGTCTTATATTCTCGCATTCTCATGCTGCCTAATATGAGTTCATTTTTCAACTGGTGGAGTGCACGCTATACCACGGAAGTACGATATCCAAAAGAATCCACTCTGATAGTCACAAAAGAACAACATTCGAACACAACCAGCGTTTTTCTACGCGATTTTGTGGAGCGACGATGCCCATCACTCTATTCGGAGTTCCGTCCCGTATGGTGGTTGCCCAAGTACGCCAAAATATTATTATTATTGAGTTTACAGGTTGTTCATGCCAACTCAGCGGCCATATGCAAACTCTCTATTGCGTCCTCGGAGATTTTTCAGCCAGAGATAAGGTGGTGTATAAACGGTGATGATGTTCATACGGACGTTCGACAATGGACTCTAATACAATAAGTTAGGACCCTGCTCCGCCTGCTCGACGGCGGAACCCTGTAAGTTCATTTCCGGCGTCTGTTTTCGATGATATGCTTCACATCAACTAGGGGTTTGGACTTCACACCGGCGGATGACAGCCATTTGCCACCTGACACTCCAATCATCGTCGTCCTGCATGGGCTCACAGGAGGTATGAAGACTTCTACATGATAAACAGCTGGAATCTAATCATCCAAACTTTCTCAAGGTTCATACGAATCGTACGTGAGAGCTATTCTCTCTCCCGGGTGCGTGCCGGTCCACCAGGGCGGACTCGGATATCGTGCAGTCGTGGTTAATTTCCGCGGATGTCAGTTCCCATTCTAAATGGACCCACAAACATTGTCATGGATGTTGATTGTCCCGCAGGCGCAGGCGTCCCGGTCACGAGCCCACAACTCTACTCCGCCGGCCATACAGATGATCTTCGTCAAGCTTTATTCTACATATCTCATCGATACCCAGAAGCACCTTTATTGGGACTATCTTTCTCTCTTGGAGCGAACGTTATGACACGGTATGTCGCAGAGGAAGGTGAACGTAGCCGTTTGAAATCAGCATGTGTTCTCGGATGTGTACGTGCTTCGCAGGTTTAAGCTTGAACAGTGACAATTTCATTTATCAAGGAAGCCCTGGAATTTAGCGGCGAATTCCTCCAAGTATGTCCAACATCTTTCTTACGGATCCGTTTACTGACACCGGCCAGGCTCTTGACGACGTATATTGGACGTCATGTTTACTCGAAAGGCATGGGCCGGAATTTGGTTAATCTTCTGAAGCGGCATGTTAGCACGTTTACATCCGATCATGAGGTCGCTAAAGCTGCCGCTGTGACTATGGCCCTCACTAAACCCACGATCGATATGTTTGACGAACACTTCACGAGAATTGGTGGTGGTTCCTCGCCTCCTTGGCCCTTCGCATCAGCAAATGATTATTATGAATATTCATCAAGCCACAATGTGCTTAACAAGATAAAAATCCCACTTCTAGCCATCAACGCTGCAGATGACCCTGTGGTTCAGGATGTGCCAATGGATGTGGAAGGTAATGGGTGGGCAATCATGGCCCTGACACCCTGCGGCGGGCATCTTGGATGGTTTGAATCAGACGAGGTATGGGGAGAGATCAGGCGATGGATCAAGCGCCCGGTGTTTGAATGGCTGCGTGCAACAGGAGAAGACTTTGTTCGTTCGCCTCCACGTTGGCGACCATTGCATGAAGAGGGCGGCTTTATCAAAGAGGTTGGCGTCGATAGGCTGGGGTGCAAAGAACTAGAAGGAAGCGATATCATTATGGGTACAGAGGGAGAGGCCGGGTTGCTGGCTGGGTTGTAATTTGAAGAAACAGATATACTGTCAGATTTCTTATTTTATTCTAATCACTATCGCTAAAATGCACTCCATCGCCATCGTCATCGTCATCTTCATGTGCGCGCAGCTGGCTCCTGTCATACTGGCTAATATCAACAGAAACGGCGCCTTCTTCCACGAAACTGTCATCATCGTGCTCCAAGTTCTTGTTCTTCTCAAACAATTGACGACCTGATCAAAAATTAGAAGGATGTCGTCAAAATACACTGAACTCCGAATTACCAGTAGGTCGAGTTGCTGCACGTTTCCATTCTTCCCTTTCTTTCGGCGAGAGTGCGCGCAGCTTTTCTTCTTCGTCTTTCGTCTTCTTTTGCGTCATCTCGCGGGTAAATTTAATCTTCCATGCCTTAAACGACTCCACTGTAACTGGGGTTCCGCGAGTCCTCGCTTCTTCCGCCTGGTAATGTGAACTCCTTGTTGTCCAAATAACACGCTCGACTTTACCTCAATTGCCAGGCGTTCTTTTTCTGTTTCCTCAGCCATGAGTTGATCTGCCCTTTTACGAACGAGGGACGTCATCTGTTCTCTAAGATGAGAGACAAGAGTGAATGTCATGGCCATGCCAACATTCTCTTCGCCCTATCGATCACCATGAGATCCGTCATAACATCATAAAACATCACCCACAACTTCCGTAAGACTGTCTAGTAGTGCTTCATGTTCAGTGCCTTCGAGTTCACCCTCGATCGCTACCAACGTCAGGTGAGGCAGGCTGTCAGGGTATTCATCGGGGTAATGGACGGATAGCTGTAGTTTGACTGTCCACAAGGTTTCAGGACTATGTAATAGTGAGGTTTGACGACAAATCTTACAGGGGTGGTCGTTATCTATCGTTTCATCAGGCTCGACATCGATCTGGATCTCCCTGTCCGAAACAACTTGGTAAGGGTCTTAGTGAACTGAATTGTAGTCAAGATCGGTAAGGACGAACTGGACAGCTCTGTAGGGTATATGGATTCAAGTACCTAAACATGCATTGAGCATAACGTGAAGCTCTGCAACAATAGGAATAGACCTCAAACTCCTCCGTAAGAACCTCTGCGGACATCGTTGTGTTCAGGAAATCGTCCGATTGCCGACCATTAAGGTTTTTGGCCAAATATGGACAATGGCGAAAAGAGTCCGAAAAGCGTCAAGCTTTCAAACGTTTCGTTGGATCCGACCCTTCTACAGCGGCTATGTCCTGGCTACGAGGAGTAACATCTGCAGTACTGAGCAGTACTGCAAGAGGAGTGTTCTCTCAAAGACCTAAGCTACCGGCTCGAATGCTCTCCAACGTCCGTCACCCACCCGCTATGCTCGATAGAACCAAAAATCAGGACCGTGTTTGGACGCAGGCTATTTGGGATACCATAGACCGCACAGCAGGAACAGCTCAAAAACAGAACCCACCAACCCCAGATGAATTATGGGCTGAACGGAGTCGGAGTGCAACTTTCAACCCTCCAGCTGATCCGTACACGGGTTGGTTCTCTAGCACTCTAGGTCGTGTTCTCGGCTGATCTCGACCCGTCCAGGTAGAAGAGTATTTGTGAACGGAGACTTGAGTGAGGCATTTAGGAGGTTACAAACGCGTCTCAGACGGAATCGTGTAATGCAGGAAGTGTCGCGGCAAAGACGACATGAAAAGAAGGGCGTAAAGCGGAGACGCTTAAGCAGTGAAAGGTGGAGAAGAATGTTTGCCAACGAGGTATTCATTTTTTTTTGGCCATGCTCTCTCAGGGTTGTGCTCATGGTTTGTGTAGGTGCGGAAGAAAGTGCAACTTGTTAGCACTATACGTCGTCGTGGAGCATACTAAGACAACAATGCATTCTCTTGTCCTTGCGATCAGTGTCCCCGGTGTCTTCATATATATTTCTCTGGCGGATTCTTTCCCCGCGGGACGTTGACCTGCAAAATTACATACCTTACCAACCTGTTTTTGGTATTATAATGATTCTTCTTTCATCAAACAAAGGCCGAAGCCGACGTTCGGTGCGTGGCGATTTGTGAAGTACCAAATTCTCGCCGTTTCTCGCCCTTAGTGTCCTAGGTCTAGATTCTCCTCGTTTTGCCCGCTCCTCTATCAGTATACATAACTAATCTGGGAACAGGTATAATCAATCTAATAGTCCGAGTGACGAGCCTCCTAGTACCAGCCCTTTCCAGCTCTTCCCATCTAGGGGGAGTACTCTCCGGGGGTGCATTCTTGTCCGACTAGTGCCGTCGCGGGACACGAGGCCGCCCCTTCCGACCTCATGGCTGCCACGACGAACGATTAAGCCAGAATCTATTGGTCCCTCGTGCCGTGTGCTGATATCCTGAATCGAGACACGACTAGCACGCCTTCCGTACTTCATTGCGAATCGGTTCGGTACCGTTCAATAGAAACTTGCCGGCTCCTGGGACTAGGTATGTGGCGTGACCACATCGCTGCTGTGAATTGGGGCCCATTTGGAGTAAATGCAGTAGAATGCGTGTAAGGGTGATCGGAATGCTCGGCGACCCTACGGCCGGCGGTTGCGCACTCACTTTGAAAGGTAAAAAGGCTGCCTAGCGGCCTCTCGATATTCTCTTGGATTTCACGACGCATGTTGCTGCAGGAAGGAACGCGATCCCCACGCGACATAGGATGATGTACGAATTTTCTGTACATAAGAAGCTCGCACCTAATGACCAGACGTCAATTCAATAGCACAATCATCTACCGCGACTACTACTAAAAAGCTCCTACTCAAGCTCCTACTCATCCTCAATATTCCGCGACGGAGATGTGTCACAATGTTCGTCGGTGCTCTGATGTTGACCCGGTCCCCGGATTGACCTGCTTCTTTCCATAGATCATTGATGGTCGATTCCACACCGAATGTAGCCACTTCATTGCCATGTCGACAAAGTTCCAGGACTGCCTGCGACCAAATTGTCTCTTCAGTTCAAGACATATCCATCTTATAGGTGTGCCTCTCGACTGTTTCCCATTTGCAATGTATTGACTTGCTCAAAGCATGCAAGTCACAATCTTGCATACGGTTAATGGCCCTGCCCACCAAGAATCCTATTCGCATAAGCCCTTCAAAATGCGGCGACTGTGTCTTAAAGATCAGAGATGAAGTAATGCCAATGGTCCGAGTTTCCGGGATGCGATAGTGGGTTGCAGTTTAGTCCCTGACAACATAGATATACCATAAAACCGCTGCCTTAATGCTGACGGCGCTAGCCCGTATTTAACTTACTAATTACTGGAAGGTTCAATATTTTGCGATAATGTAATCATGCTTTTCGTGTTCTCCGGCATAATAACAACCACGTGTCCCACGGTAACACCACTAGTGAGATAATCATGCCAAACTCGTCACAATTGACGTTGTTGTTCTTGGTCTGCACAGACTATTCCTTGTACTTTTCGTCTAATCCAACTCTGGCCGCATACAATGACTATCGAACATCTATATAGGGCACATGGGAAGGTCCAGATCAACTGTATAGTTTGATACTTAAGAGCCGACTCCCCGCTCGTCCTGTTCATCACTTGTTCTGTGACTCGTTCACAGTTAAAACTTTACGCTTATGGCTTGGAGAGCCCCTGATAATCTGAGATTCTACATGCAGGAAGCGCGCCTCGTGTCCATTAATTGGAACTCATCTCAGCCCAGCGTTGACGCCGCTTTACATGCTCTTCCCCGCCGATACAGGAAACTAAGAGCAATCCATCCACTTCGGCTCGCGCTTTTCAACCAATATTGTCAAGACTGTACGAGTTCTCATGCTACGGCTTTTCCGGGTCTAAAAATTGATTTTAGGGACAGAGGATTTTGTTCCGTGCGTGTCGCTCGGTGAAGAAGACGAGGATAAAGAAACGGGCGAACGCTTCACGGTACCTTGCCCACCTTTCTATCAAGTTCCGTCTATCAGTCTGGCCCGGGCTGATAGCCTCAAGCGGTAATAATCATAAACTTGACTTTCTGCCGTTCTAATTGTACTCGAAGATTGTTCACGTGGATAGATCTTCTCCCGCTCGAAACCGTGCGACGAGCCGTGCATCTCCTCTACCCTGAGACAAAAGCTTGGTCTTTTGCTTCTGACGCAGATGACCCGGATCACACCATCTTCAAATGTATAACATGGTCCCAACTAGTGGACCATGACGATGAGCGGCATTGTCGGAATGCCATGAGCATCTTCATTCAGCCCCCTTGGGTCCTTTCTGGCCGTGATCTTGACCTATTTTGCAAACGTCAATCAGTATGGACGGCTAACGATTTCGAAGCGTTCGCTGCTAACGTATGTCGGCAGTTCTTCGGATCATCCTCAAGCCCGTGGCACGCGCATCCTACTACAGCCCATGAAAGGCTATGGTACAAGGTGAGACGCCGCCGTTCATCCCAATGAATCACGTACTCACGCCACCCACCAGCTATGGGATTGCTGTATCACTAGAAGCTGCCCATGGTTTGTCGTAAGCACTTACACGCATTGGGTCTTTGGAGTATTCTCGAACGGTGAGCTGGATTTAGTCGCCTACTTGTGTTTTCCGCTGAGCCTCGGCATTCAGGGTGGACTGCAGCGTTTGTCTCCCCAGTGTATAGCCATGACTCTCACGACCCATCTGTTTTACAACTCCTGCTATTCTGGCTTTGTTCAGCAATGGGGCTTCCTGGAGGTTGGGTGGTCCCAGAAGTTCGAATTGAACCAGCTTATCCTAGTCATCATCTCACAGCCTCAGTCTCCGATCTCGCCGTCACTGATAAGTCGATATTTACCCTCTGGGATGGAGATGACTAGATCCGCGTCATTCGATTCTATTTGATTGAAGCAGGTTGCGCATGCGCGCTCACTATTATTGTAGGTGTACCGATCTGTTGTTTCCCTTCCAGTTTGAGAAGGTTACGCCGAGTGCTTCGTTTTCATCTCAGCCCAGCCACGACGATAACTATTCTCTAGTACTCCCGATCAGTTAAAAACAACCAAGGCACCTACAGGATTTTCAGAGATCTGGTGATTGTAATTCAATGTAACGCATCCCAAAAATAGATGAACAGTAAATCACTATCAGTTAGAATTCCCGATAAGTATGTCTCCCACAAAGGTACTTCGCGTCAACGTTACGCCAGAAATTCTTTTGCGAGGCCGTGAGGGAGCTGTAATCATTCTAGCTAAGATCCAAGCGGCCTATTATTTTCTTTGCTGATTCTGGGATGGCTCTTTCCGGCTGTTCAGCAACGTGCAATGGTGTCTTGGCGGGCGTATTACCCCCGTATGATGAAATTGGCGTTCTGTTACTGGTGCCTGCGGGGGGGAAAGATGCCGATTGCGATAATAGCTGTGGAACCTGAGAGAAAGGTTCATAAAGAGTTGGGCGCAGGGAACTTGTGGGAGGGGAAATCTGTGAACCCTATTCAGACCGTGCAGGGTCAAGACTACAGTGGGTCATCAAACCATAGTTAAAGGCGCCACATGCGGCGCGTTCTGCATGTCTTGAGCTGAATAATATTCAAGCAGTATGCTCAAGGCGTCTGAGACGTACCATAATTTCTCAGTTATGATTGGTAGCCAGTTCCGATCGACCTACCTGAGACCTTGGCTATGTCATCTTCTGTGAACCCGTAATATTCAACTGCGAAGCGAGAAGCATCAGGTGAAGCGGGTTTATGAGAAGGAGGTGTCGGAAGGGATGCTGAAGGCGGAGATGCGGAGATTCGAGCATCCAGGGACGCTGAATGAGGCCCATCAACAGCTCGCTGCGCCAGAACGTAGCAAGTACATGCGATGATACGAGGAGGGAATAAGATGCATAATGGTGTCCGATAACTGGCACATGAATTGAGACAATGATTCGCCTCTGTAAGTTTGGGACGACTAACTTACGAATCATGAGCAATACTCCACGCGTAATCGTGAACTCGAGTGTCTTCCTGGTAGGCATCGAAAAGATCGATTAATTCGGCGTGAGGGCTCGGGGCTACGAAATCAAAGCAAAGTGCCTCGAGGAGGACTTCTTCCGTGAGAAGAATAACGTTTTGTAGTTGATCGACTTCCTGATGATAAATGAGCTCAGTTGGAGCAACAAAAACATGTTACATGCTGGGCTTTCGCTGTGTATGAGGGAGACATCTTTCCCTGTAATCTTAGCCTGACACACTCTTGCGACGTCGCGAAGCTTGCGTCCGCACTCCTCCGTCTTTGTTGCAAGGAATATACAGGAAGCCGCCACGTCCTAGAAGGAACGTCGTCCGCATTATCTAGAAATTGTGAGATAAGAATACCTGTCTGTGATAATCTTCCATGGAATGTCTCATAAAAAAGCGGTGAAACCAGGTCGCGGCTGTGAACATGGCAGAAGTGGGCCTGCGGAATCAAATGGACGTGAAAAGAAGATCAAGAGGCAGTAATTGACAAAGGGCTAACAGTCCAAGGGAAGAACCCAGACGGAACAAAAATTCGACGCCCCTAGATCGATCATATAGCTCCTTCGCGACGGTGTATGATGATGTGACAACACTCGGGGTCAGCTGGAGAGCTGATATCGGAAATACCCACTGAGATTGCATGATATGATGTTGTCCCCAAAGGAGAGGCAGGAAGGAAGCAAAGAAGTGAGTTGGCAAGGTTCAACGACAACGCCACGATTCGATTGCCTAAAGATCACGTAAAGCTGTGCAAGTTCTAAGATGGGGCCCCCCTAGCGCTGTTTCGTTCACTGCCTCCAAGTCGAGACTCTGTGTAAACTTGCCATTGTTCTTAAATCTCGCGTGAAGTAGGTGAAAGCATGCTGATCACCCGAGAAGTAAAAAAAAGACTGTTCTGTTCACAATTTAGTTCGGTAGCCTGGTAGTATTGTATTAGTTTTATTCCGTCTCCGTGACACAGGTTAACAAATCCCGCGTTCGGGGACAATCAGAATTACAGCAAAGCAGATTCTCAAGTCAGATGAGTTCTTTCCCCAAGTTTACAGCCGCGGATATGCACATCCCTCACTGTACACAGCGAGGTGTGCCTCGTGCCTTCTTTCAATAATTGGCCTGGTCATTCATTCCTCTATAGTAACTTGGAAATCAACGAATCCCCCCCAATTGCTTCACCATTAATTTTAGTTATTTCCGCTTACCTCGCCACTAATTGCACTTGGCTTGCTTGACATGTAGAATTACTAAGAAGCATTTATGACTTTGTCAAAAGCGGGTTCAAAGTACTTGTGACGTGCCTGTCGCACGCTTTCTGATTCCGTTTGCTCTTTAGCTTGTAATTCCTGAACTTTAACTAATCCCCATCAACTGGCGGTACTACTCACTGGCGATTATCCTCCTTGTCCTCGCCGCCTACATGAGCAAACCGTTACCAAATAATTACAACACTGGCAGAAGTCGCTCCATGGTCGCCTTGGCCGACTTCCCATCCACCACCGCAACTTGCCTGTCAAGATGATCAACAAAATATATCTTCATAAATCACTACAACAATCATCAAGATCCGTCAAAAAAACATGTAGTGGAAATTGCAAGGAAATGTCATATATCCATCGATCTTTCCGCACCGCTATTCTAATCACCGATCATCGATGCATCTTCATCGCCATCGCCCACAGATACCGACATAACATACTCCCAACACCTCCTTGGACCTATCTACTGTACAGCTTCTACAGCCTATGAATGTCGATGTCAGACCTTATCTGCCTTTGCCTGCCTGTGTGCAGGTCGGACAAAACGAATCGATGAGACGGTCTGCAACATGGTCGTCAGCATTGGATACGACATGCCCCCAGAGCGCTCAAGCCTCACTAAATTGTTGGGGGAACTGCCGACTATGACGTATCAAAGGATCTAGTCAGCTTTCCGACCCTTGCAAACAAGCACCACGAGGTACCCACTATTGCCAGCATGTTGTCGTGCACGAAGGCGGCACGCAAGTACTTGGATGAGATGAGCTAAATTTGCAATAGCGATCATCACATCGGATCTAGAGGCGTGTGAGCAGTATGTTTTCAATGTTTAGGTCTGTAGCTGACCATTTCATCGGCCTGAATAGCGTCAGTCACGGCAAAGGCATCGAACCGAATATGCTCACCAAGTCGAAAACATGACCGCAATGGCTGTATGTATTACGAACTCTGGATAGAAGACAGGGACCAGAGTAAGCAATGACTCAGATCATAGGTCAGGCATCGACTGACCTTCGCCAGTGACACATGGAGGAAGTTGGGGAACGGAGAGTGGACTTGGGGTTGTTGGACCAAATTCCTGCCTCTTATAAACCCCACGACAAATCAAGCGAAAATTCGAGAATAGATGGCGCAGATCTCGTCGGGGAATCAGTGATTTCGCATCGGACCGTTTGAACAGATCTGTAGCCAGCTAGTTGCAGCGTCAACGTGTGGCACGGAGGAACCATCTGATGCTCCTCGGAACAACAAATTTGGCTCCACCGGTTAGGCTGGAATATACATATCAGGATAGCCAGTAGACATTTGGTCCCGTTTATCTAGCGAATGGGTTTGCTAAAAAGCTAAAAACCCAAATGAGTCTCCACAGCGGCGACAGCCGAACTTCATCTAACGGAGAGGTGTTTCTGCCCGAGTTCGAGGATCAAACACATCAAGCTGCATCAGGCGTACACTCACTCGTTGTCGGGACGGCATCCCGAATATCTTACATCACCGTCCGGGAAGCATTAAAATCATTTATTGTATTTTTGAGTCGCGATTCAATTGGAAGATGCTGATAGGCTGAGAGATTTCGTTCTACCCCATTCTCCTGATAAATTTTCAAAATGGTTTGGGCAGTCTTCGGAACTCCTCTGGAAGATTTAGGCAGCTGCTCCCGAATATTTCGCCCCAGTCTCGCGCTCATATCGCGACCTGTCACATTATAATTCCCGAAAATACTCACCTTTATCATCCAGAATCAGACTGATGGCCCCGAAGTATTGGCTGGGTCTCTCCCGCAGGATTACGCATGTTTCATCTCAAGGGCGGCCGCCAATGCGGTTGAACGCCAGAAGAATATGACGCTCCTCCTCTTGATTAACCTTGCACCACAGAGAAGTTCCGCATACACGCATGGTGATCTGCAACTGATCTTGAAAGTGATCAAGGCTAATTGTAAACTCTATCGTGCCTATCGGCGGATGAAGGCGAAGTTTGGTGATGAGGGATTGGAGGGATAAACGGACAATTTTGTTATCCTGCAAACATCCCCACAACATATTGGCTGACCCCTTCAGGAGTCAAGCTGCCAACATCGGAGAATACCAGCGTAATCAGGTCCGGCCTGGTGTTCATCCATCAGAACGTGTCATGGCACCATTAATTCTCCCACCTAGTATAGTCCACTCCAGGGTTGCATGCAATTTGTTCTGGCGTCATTTGTCGTATACAACCGGCATTAGTGGACTTTTCATGAAAGAATTTGATCCCGCCCGCGGTCGGCGGGGACGTAACATTGCCTCCCGAAGATAACGGGAAAGACAGAATATTGGATGTGTGCGTTGGCAGGTCATACTGCGATAGCGGGAATAGACGATGAAATTTGTAACTGTTTTTCAGGATCATATGAGCTCCGGAGCAGTGCATTGTGATACTGAAATTACCTCTCAGCGAGGGCATAAAAAGGGATATTCGCGGCTTGTGCGATGATTGCGATCTGGTTACTGCCAACGGCATTGATCAGGCCGCCACTTTCTACGACAGCTTCTGATCCCACTAGAACGAAGTCTACTTTGTCCATGACATATGATACCGCCGAATCCAGTACCACCGTGCAGGGTATACCGGCGGCTGTAAGTTCTTCGTAGGTTCGTAGGCTTTCAATAAGAACATCAGTCTTCTTTGGAGATACCAAAGTTACAGAGTATAAGAGCGAACCCTAAGCCGCGAGGCCGTGCTTCTGTCACGTAGACCGATATTCTCTTTCTCTCGTGGGCACGGAGCAGGGTCTTCATCACGACTCTCGAATAGGAATGAGTCAGGATCTTCCCGTTGACATGAGGGATCATACAACGAGGAAGCACGTGGAAAACATACCACCGAGTCATCTTTGATGAATCCCAGCGCAAGGCTGGCAATTTTATCGCGATAAGTGAGAGCCTCAGCAGCATATTTTTGGCCTTGTCTAACAAGCTCTAGTTTCAAATCAGAGAAGCTCTTTTGTACTTGTCAGTTTGAGAAGGAAGATAGGATAGGCGGGCTGTACTGACTGCGGAGTCATGCGGGAGCAATGTGACAAACGCGATAAATAATTCGCACCCAGCGTTCAAACTGATCGGATTGGAAGTCGAGGCCTTCAAAGCTCCTGCACCGTCGTTTAGAGCTTTTACTAACTCAAGCATGGTCCCAGCTAGTATCTTCTGGGTCAACGCGACACTGTAGGAAGAAACATGGCGTAGTACCATCGGATGTCTCGATCAACTTGCTCAGGGCTAGAATTGCAGCCAGGGGAGGCGATAGCTGGTTTTGTTATGAGCATTACCAAAAAAAAGATAATATAAGAAAGTTGCACCTCTTCATTCTTCAGGAATGAAGCGTAAGTTTCGCAGATATCGAAAGAAACCATAGAGAATGCAGAGGCTGATGTATTTGCCTCCGTAGTTGCAAGACCCGGCATGACAAAGGGAGTAATTTGAAGGTACTGGGAGAGGTATGTTCCTTCAACTTGTTCGTTCCTTACAGAGATGATGATAGCATGACTCCAAGATCACGTGAAACCAGGAACATAAGCGTATGGGCGCTTGCGACTATAATGTCGGTGAAACAAACTTGGTGCTTGTACAAGGAATTACTGTAGATGTTTAGATCACTTGGGCACTGAAAGCTACTGCCCAGACTATTAAGTCTAAGAGGTTTTATTTAAAAGATAGATACAACAAGCTTGAGTAGTTGACATCCATGCAATGCGTTATTATCACCCTGTCACAAGTTGAAGGGGACACATATGGTCGTAACTAGTCGGAACCGTGACAGGTGGGATATCTGACCCTGCCGTGGACAGCCTCCTGGTGTTTGACAATGTGACTTGGCTCCCGCGCTTGCGAAACTATTTAGCCAGACTAGTGCGGGAATGTTGGACATCACATTTAGTACTCTTTGTCACTAGCTTTGGGTAGTCTTTGTCCTTCTAGCTTTGTGTCCGTTGCTATGCAAGTAGCTGTCATTTCAAGTCTATCCATGACCTGTAATACATGGTTAACGTTCTGCTCATCACGTCGGGGAAAGTGTTTTAGAAGGGACGGGATTGCATTCTCGTAAATCAATATATCAGTACAATATTGGCGTGCAATAAAGGTGCAACTACTATCGAAGGTAATTTGGTGCTGACCCTGTGATAAATTTCATACTGAATTATTCACTTTAGGAAAGAATATAGATGAATTAAAATAATTAAGGCTGAATTTGGAGATAAAAAGGAGTTAGCTGGAGACGAAAAAACGTGTTTCGTTCTCTGGACATGTCGGGTCGCAATCGATACGAAAGGCCAATTATAGTGGCGGGACCCACGCCCGCCAGCGCACCCTTCAAAAGGCCGGTAACGCCATGCATTTATAGTACCCTTGTGCCCTCAAAAGCCAGGTTCACTATCTTCCTCCTCGAGGTCACATATCTTGCCCTGCATCTTCCTTACTTTCTCTTTATCAATACATATCATTGCTCCTGGTAAAGGGCAGGCCTCTCTTTGTCCCGAACAATTTGACTTGTCTTACAATGGACAAGTACGTTTCTTTTACCTATAAATTTATTTCAGAGGCTCACGGAACTCAATCAACCCAGTAACAGTACCCCCAACATGCAGACACCACCATCATCGACTGCTCAAGTTCATTTTTCCAGCGATGTCCGCAACATGGATAACTGGGCTCGCCGTACAGGCATCCCGTTAACCACAGCGGAAGCTTTAGGCACTACTTATGCTCGTGCTCATAAGTGGTTGACGTCGTTAAAAGCCCAACTAATTCAGCACCACGGGTGGCAGGACGCCGAAGCTGCCGTCGATACTCGTATGCTCTTCACCGTAGAAGCGCCTTCTCCATGGCGCTCCCCCAATGGGCTCCCTTTGAGCCCCAAGTTACGCCTTCAACTCCCCACACACGCATCCTCTTTCTTTTCTCCAGAGCGACGCGTTCAGTGGCAAATGGTGTTCCATAGTGACATCTTTGCCACTCAGCGACTTATCGTCCAACCCATCACCGACATCCTGAATCTTATCCAATGCCTACTCACCGGCGTTGTGACCCTTGTGTACGAGGAGCAACTACCTCAGGGTACTTATACTACCACCCGGGGCCTCCCGTCAGTGCAGTGGATAACCAATAACCAGGCCGCCCTCCTTGAAATCTTTGGGCATGCCCATTTCAAGCAGCTCTGGAAGGCTGCCAACGACAGAACGACGTCGTTCAAAGTTGACTTTGAACCTCGCCGCCGTTGATCGTGGAGTGGCACGAAAGCCCTTACCCTGGGGGCCAAGGCTCACGTGCAGCAAGCGCCTTTATGCATTCTTTCGAGCGCTATCTCCATTCTTTCATTTCCCCACTTGTGATCCGCTTTGCTACCTGATTTGTGCTTGTGCCCTTCGCCGCATTGTTGTGATATAATGCTCTCTTTACGCGTCCTCGGCATAATTTTTATATCTCCACATAGACCACTCGTATATTGTTAATTCGCTTTATTCTGAATCATCTTATACACACCTATCATCGATCACATTTAATACCCGCCATCATATCGTTACAATCGAATACTTAGCATCACCACTGCCCGCCTAATGTTACAATGCGAATGCTCACCTCGATCGTCTTTCGCGCCCATACTGACAAAGGCTCGTCAAATGAGACCCAGTGTGGTGCTCCCCTTGACCCAGCCAAGGTGATATTGTCAGCAAGGGACAGGAATGACTCAGGTTACTAGTATAGAACACACACGACTAGGCTATGCATGTTGTACTTGTACGCCAGCCTTCTGTTTCGTGACGGTCACCGATCTGAACGGTGCTGCGCCAATTATGCCAAGTGTTAGTGTCAGGTCATTCCGATCTTGAAAAAAAGCGTTAGCGAATAGACGGACATCATAATCAGGCTCTACGTGATAGGAGAGCCCTTGGAAGGTTTAGCGCCTTCAAAACACGTTGAAGGGTCGCACCAACGGCAAGATCAGATGCACGTTGGGAACGTGAGGCAGACGGAGCTTTGGACAGTCATGTCCTTGTGATATGCTAATTCAAGCATATCACGGCATAATTGTATAACATATGTGGGATGACAGAACTTAGCGTCACCTATGAAAAAAAAAAGTTGGAACGTCATCAAACCCGCGTCGCGTCGGAGAAATCCGCGTCACGTGTATCTCAAGTTACTTGCTGTGGTCGCTCAGTCATCACTACAAAATTTTATCTCATTGTATCTATCGTTCTACCTGACAAGGAAGATGACTTCAGCCACGGTACTCTGTCAGAGCTCCAGTTGTCCACATGGAAACCCGCCATCACGGCTCGAATGCCCCACGTGCAATAAGTATGTCACACACCATGTTGCATCCTGCTGTTAGCACTGAACTTCGTCGAGGCTGGGTATCCGTGGTTCTTTTTTCTGCGGACAGGAGTGCTTCAAAGGCAACTGTGAGTCGATCACGATATCAATCTGTGTGGAAGCATTGAAACGCCACACTTTTGACAGGGGTAAGTACGATGTAAACCCAGGCACCGCTCGCACCTCATGTACTTTTAATTCCCTCCGCATCTACCAGAAAGCCCACAAAATCATCCACGATCTTGTACGTTCCCCGGCTACTGCAGCTAATCCATCACAAGGTCCGTCGATAGAGATATTTCCAGTCGCGAGTCAGCTGATGTGATACAGACGGCACGTACCATCCTTTCGCGAACTTCGATTTCACGGGTACTCTAAGACCCGTATACCCCCTCTCTCCAAAGCGTGAAGTTCCGGAACATATTCCACGTCCTGACTACGCAACACACGAAGATGGTAGGATCTTGCGCCTTCTCAGCAACGTAACACGCAATTTGAACATGACAATAACCAATTTCCACTCCCACCTACAGGAGTACCGACCACAGAGTTAAAGCGAGCGGGCCAACCCCCACGTTTATTGAACTCGGAGGAAATTGAGAAGATGAAGTTTGCGTGCAGGGTAAGGCTTCGGTTATGATGAACCTGACATCATACTCATTTTTCTCAAGCTTGGCCGAGAAGTGCTGGATATTGCAGCAGCAATGGTACGATCAGGTGTGACTACTGATGAGATAGATGCTGTCGTTCATCAAGCTACGATCGACCGTAACGCATACCCGTCACCCTTGAACTATCGTAATTTCCCGAAATCCGTCTGCACGTAAGATTGTCTCAAGCTTGTCTTCTGATTTGTCCTTGATATTGCATCAGCTCCATCAATGAAATTATATGTCATGGCATCCCTGATCGCAGGAAATTGCAAGAAGGTGACATCATCAATCTCGGTGCGTTCCGCTGTTCTTTCTGTTGGGTATGTTCTAATGTTGTAATAGACATATCGCTCTACTACGATGGTAGGTGGAAACATTGCGTTTTTATCTTATCCCATGTTTGAAGGTGAAGGTCAGGATTTCATGCCGACTTGAATGCCACATACCCCGTCGGTGAGATAGACGAAGACTCTAAGAAATTGATTCAAACCACTCGACAATGTCTCGATGAGGCGATTAAGATATGCAAACCGGGTGCATTATTCCGTGACATCGGCAAAGTTATGTTAGTTTTTCCCTTCGGTACCGTTTAACTCACGCTTACGTTGGTCCTAGCGAGCCGATTGCACGTGCTAACGGATGTGCTGTCGTACGGACGTACACAGGTCACGGCATCAATGACTTATTCCACACGGCGCCTAATATTCCACACTACGCAAAGAATAAAGCAATTGGTACCATGAAACCAGGAATGGTAAGGCAGCTAGCGACAAATTTTTTTTAGCTACTAACTTCATCGAATCTAGTGCTTTACAATAGAGCCGGTAAGCTGCCTCATGCTCACTCTATTTGCTCCCCGGAGCCGAACCTCATGTACGGTTGCAATAAGATGATCAATCTAGGTTCCCATTGGGATACACACCATTGGCCCGACAACTGGACTGCTACCACAGTGGATGGGAAACGTAGTGCTCAATTTGAAGAAACCTTACTGTAAGCGTTATATGACACCAACTTATCTGAAACATTGCTCATCGATGTTTCAGTATCACAGAGACTGGCGTAGAAGTTTTGACTGCGGGGAGCTTGTAGTAACAACTTGTCATTATCATTGCTTACATTCAGGGATAGATATACTTACATGTTCTGGTCAGTTTTCTTCCGTCACACTCCGCCCAAAAATATTCCCTTCAGCGGCAAGGCACATCGAAGCATCGAGATCGACTGAATGAAATCGGACATTTATGGATGTGACATGTGTACCCTTATCTTTCCTCGTTTCCCCTTATGCAAAAATATCGTTTCGTCTTTCAATATCCCCGCAATTACACCCGCTGACACTGACCCTTGGTAATAGTGGAAAGGGCGGAGAACACGTTCGTGTGTGGGTATCTCCTCACATTCCTTACTTTCCCACCTCCACCTACAAGATCTATCACCCTTGTCAATCCACTGAGCGCCTGTCTATATGTCGGACAATGACACTGACACTGAACCCTATCTTTTCGTCGAGAAATGTGGTTCAACCCGAGGGAACCCGATATACGTGATCACAAAGTACATCCCGTCAGTTGGTGTACTCGAATGAAATAATCGTGCGCAAGGGCTGATTGAGATATTCCAGCGCTATGAATGGCTATTCGAGTAGGACGGTGGGCCACGCTTTCATTTCATTCTTTTAGCGACGCCATTGTAATGTGCATTTTTAGAGGGAAATTAGATGTATGGATTTAGGTGGCGAAGCTCTCGGTTCATACAAGGCTCGCCAAGGAGGCTGTACACACATACAGGTGGGTGACGTTGACAGCCGTCGCAAGGTTATCTCAATTTTCCATCATCACATGTCCCAGTTTTTCAACCACGCTGAATACCTCAAGTGGGTCTTTCCATTGTCAACACTGATGAAGCTCAATATATTCATTTTTGCTACAGTTGTACTGGGTGCGGCATGGAGTTTTCCAAAGTAATGCTTCGCCAAAACGCCTACATCGAGATCAAAGGCCTCCCTTCCTAATTCCCCTGACGCTCGGTCACCGTTCTCTCATCTGCTATGTTCGCTATCCTCGTTGCTTTGGAACAGATACGTATATGAACAGCTATACCTGGAATAGGCTTCCAATACGGTTTGGCAATCGCAATGTAATACTTCACACATAACATGCAATTTGGACAGTCCTCTACCATAGTCACATTATCGAGAAGTTAAGCACTCGAGGATTATCTACTTGCTTCTTTGTTCAAGCTCGTTGTCACATCTTCAAATGTCTCTTGCCGATCTGCGGACCCAATGCGCTCGACCGGAACGAGGTTAGATAAGCTATGCTTACGTCGCCGTGAGCCCTGTCGCATATGCAGAGACTGGGAGTCATCAAGACGGGTACCGCTTGAACTCGAAGAAGCGCTTGGCTGAGTAGTGGTCATTCGAAGTCGCTGGAGATCTGCGTATGATCCCTGCCGACTTCGCACCTTGTGTCTCGAAGCATCCTCATACGCGGATATATAGCTGACGGCATGGTCATAATCTCCATGGTCTTCGCCATCTGAGAGGTCAGGTGTCGCCGGTCTGCTGCTGTCCTGAGTTGGTGTGCTTCCTCCCCACGCACTGGATCCACATTTAGCGCTACGGCTCCATCCGAAAAGCCGCTCATCGATCCATGTCTGTGCAGCGGTCATGAGGGTGCGACCATAGAAACCTGTGAATGCTCACCATGGGATGAATCAGCAAATTCCCTTGAGCATCAACTTGCCCCACGCTACTCTTTCGCCGCCAAATCCCGGGATTACCCGTTGAAGGAGGTGCGCTCGCAGGGACCAGAATACGGAACTGATCAGGTGGTCAACACTAGGCATCAATCAGGTTGCTATGTACTTGCCTGATCGAAATCATCATAAATCTTTGGGCCAAACTCATTTATGACATCGGCAACTTCATTAGATAGTCGAACCCTCATGGCTTTCACTTTGTCGAAGGACCGCTGTTGACCGGGGATCAACGCCACTATCAAGGGCCGCAAAGATCTATACGGAAATCGAACTGGGTCAGTGCATAATTTAGGAGCGGGTCGTTTAAAACCTCACTTCAGTACGTCCATACCAGCCTCGCCAAACTTCAGGGCGGCGTAATTCATGAACGGCAAAGCCAAAATCACCAGAAAGGGAGTCCATATCCTCGTGGCTAGAGAAGCGTTGGCTTTCACGGCGACTATTGTCGCAACTACAGCATAGAAAGCATACATGACTGGAGCGATACCGAGCGAAATGAGAATCTTCCACGTTGCAAGTACATCGCGACCAGCCACTTTGACTACTGATGCAGCCAGTGCCTCTGAAGGGAAATTGGTGGTTTGAGTAATTAATCAGATACATAATAAGTGTAGATGCATACCTTTAGCTTTTTGACGTGAAATAATTGATGCCAAGATAAACATGGGCCCATTGAGTATGACTCCTGGCAAAGCTAATGACGTCCAGATTATCAGGAGCACGAGGCGATAGACAAGTAAGCCAAGCGTTTTCCAGCTCGCCTTCTGTGCTCGTGGGACCTTGTGGAAAACGTGAGTTGGTGCACGAATTGGGGGTCGCCAGTAGACGTACTTGGTGATCACGAATTCCCAGATCACGAATCAAACGATTGTACTTCAAAACGTCTGTTCTAAGTTTCTGTACCCGGGGCTCATCTTTGAAGTGTGTGTAGCCTTTCAAAAAGCGCCTATTCAGTTCGACCACTTGTCCTAATGTGAGATATTGCCCCGGTGTCTTGTATAATCGGCGGACGGCTTGAATAAGCTGCATGGGCTTCAGTTCTTGCTTACTCAAGTATATGACGCCAGGGACGCACCATAAGTGTGTCATAATCTGGAGCACGAATCGTCACTGTCTTCAGCCCATCATAGATAAGGTCCAAGAACTTCGCCACGGCTTCACGCTTTTTGTTACCGCCTTCTTTAAACATCTCAACTAGCTCAGCAGGTACATCGAGAGCAGTTCCGAATTCCACAACAGCACGAGAACGGAAGCGATGGGCATGGAAATATGATAGACCGACAGGTACAATCTTCACTTGCACAGTTGGATCATTGGCCATAGCACCTAACGCCATGATGGAGAACACCAGCTTTGAGAGGGAGTAGATCTGTTCTGTCGTGACTTCCACCTAAGGGGTCAACAATGTAACGAAACGCTGCAATGAAATTAATGAGTAGTGGGCTTGCCTTCGGGAAATATGCCAATGCACCCTCCTTCCTTTAATTTCTGATACACACCACGATACATTTCTTGCTGGTCGACGAACGGCAGAACCTTGAACGCTAAACCCTTATTCCCATTTTCTCCACCTGCGGCAATTGTCTCCCGAATGCGAGTTGTTCCTTTGCCACTGTCTCCTCCAAATTCTTTCTTGACGCGCAACTCCGTATCTGAAATGACTTCGACGACCTCGGCAACCGCTGAGTTGACTGACTTTGGAAGCATGATTTGCATTTTCGGGGTAAACTCAGTTTTGAACTGAGTACCTTCCCCGAGGACTAAACAAGGATCATCCGGAGAGAGGTATACTAATCCAGTTCCTGGTTTGGCCTCGTCTGAAGCTCGAGAAACGGGGACTGTATAAAAGTCAATAAGGAGTGGGAGATATGACGCAATGAACGTACTGCTGTCCATGAGGCGGGCAAAAAACCCCACTGCCTTCCGTTGCAGACTCTTAGCAGCAGTTAAAAACTGGACATGGCGGTGTGTCTCGCGGTAAACCTCTAAGGTGAGAAGGAGAGGATCAAGGAACTACATAGAAGAACAGTCAGCGGAGTTTGCCAAAGACGAATAATAACAATTCACTTGATTGGAATGAGGAGCACCGACAAAAATGAGGGGGCCCTTATGAGGAATGTTGAAGGCACCCCGAGGTCGTATCTCTCTGAAGAATATCTGCGTGACAATGCGCCAAAATAACAGCGCAGCTTCATATGTGATTGCTGAAGGCATTAAGAATAGGCTTTATGAAATTTAGTTAGTGACTAGTTGTGCAAAGTATGATGGTATAAAGAGAAAGGCGTAGTCTTGGCGTTCGTCGAGCTTCAGGGGATTAATATTAAGCTGAGTACTAGTGGGGCTCAATTTTTGGGGTGTCACAACATGTGCAAATAGAATCACCCACGTAGCTATGATCACTACTATTACTTCAGTTATTCGTCATGCATGATGATGACGTGCTCATGATATCGATATTGTGCACATTACATTGAAATCGGATCACACCGTTGTTCACGACGTCGGGCCTCTCACCAGCTCATCTCTGGGAAGATCTGCGGTAACAAGCGAGAGCACATGCACGACTATGCATCATTCACATCACAATCCGGAGAGGGGGATATACGGGCCACCAAATCGCCAGGATCGGATCTGATCCGCTCGCTATCCCAGAACTTCGAAATCAAGTCTTGACCTCCCCAATGGCGGAAATTGGCACGTATCATAGTCTGTGGTTTTAATGTCAACGATAAACGGAAGGGGAAGGGGTATGAACACGCAAAAGTAGATCCAGCAAAGGTATGTGTACAAGTCACAAGGTCCTACGACGCATATTTTTGCCTGTGTTAGCAGAATAACTCCGCGGGTGATGATACATTTTCCGAGGCATGACTCGAAATAAACATACTTGACATTCCACAAAAATCGTGCATCCTGATTAAGAAGGGTCTTTGAAGAGTCGTAAATGATCGAATTGCAGAAACAAAGAAAGTGTGAGATGTTGAAAGAATCCATCGATCAGTCTGGTTCAAGTCAGCTCTCCGATATCCGAGGTCTTGCAGCACTTTGCGAAGATCCATTGCTCGTTGTGCTTGCACGATTATAATGGAATATGCCGTGCAGTTGATGCAACCGATCCTCTGCTGGCGGATCATATGTATGGTGTACAGATTGAGGTGACATTTCCCCTCGGCTTGGAGCAGGGGAAGTGGGAACGGGTGATTCATGGCCATTCGATTCCAATTCTAATGGACACCATAAGCGTGAAACTCGAAACTAAAATGAGGAAACATACTTGACAGTGTACTTGCCACTGCTGCGGTTCGTTCCATATCCTCGGCCGCCCGACTCGCAAGTGCGCGGTTGATGTACTTGCGAAATGCAGGCCCAGTTGTCTCTAACAGCTTCTCAACGCGAGGACGCTTGTGTGGGTAATTCTTCAAGAACTGGTGCAGCTCAGTGATACCCTCCTTGTGCATCGCTCCTGTGGTCTCACTGGAGATGTGATTTATGATAGTGATCAATTGTGCTTCCGGATCTGGCTCTTCTACCGGTGGCGAGAAGCCGTTGTGCGAAGAGACACTCGGGCTTGTTCGATGACTGGGGGAAGACTGCTGTTGATTGGCAGAAGAGCCTGTAGGCGATATGGGCCGACTGGAAGCTGCTGAGTAAGGGCGTGAAATGGACTCTGATGGACTGTTATTCGACCGCGTTGGGATATCTGTTGCTGCCCGAGAGGAGGAGTTGAGAATGCGGTAAACGTAGGGGTATACTATAGTTGCTGATGGGTCGTCGAAGGATGCGGAAAGGAAGTCATAAACTTCGTCGCCATAATGCGCTAAGACCCGGTTAGTCCAGATCTTACTTCCTTGAGATTTCACATACCAACGACATGCTGAATGATAACTTTGATGGTTCTCAATGGCATATCCCCGCACGGGACTTTGTTCGTGGCTCTGGCTCTCCATTCATTTGGAGGTACTGACTGTAAAAAGTGCTCGACCGCAGGTAAAAGCTCGACCGGATCGAGTTTTTGTTCCTTCAGATCTTGAGGAATGTTTCGAGCTAGCTTCCAAACACATTTCAAGACAAGCTCAGCGACACGAGCCTCTTTGGAGTCTGAAAGTGTTCCATTGCTCGGGAACGGCTTTACGATTTGCAAAAGCAGGGAAAACAGGGAACTAATGTAGTGTGTCAGGAATCAGAAAAGCAACATTACGGGTGACAAAAATACGCACCGGAATATGGACATCCTGCGTCCTGTGGCAAACAGCCTCAAGATGATCATGTTGATAAATCGTGATAGATCCTTAACCTTGGTGACGTGGCTCTCATCAGTCTCCAATAATCTCAGTGTAAGCTCCTCTAATAGAG